TGGAAATAAATAGTTCAAGTGATTCTGAGTAGTTGCAATTGATTCAATTGATTTTAGTTGAGATATAGAAGTTGTGAGTGATGAAGGTGGGAAAAGTGGCCCGGTCACTGATGGTGGCCCACTCACTGATGAACCACGTTACCCGTTTTGGCCCCCACCCAATAGTGCAGGTGCAAGCAAGTACGTACGAATAGCACACGCTGCTATTCGTGTGCTCTCGGCGGATATCACCCTAATCCATTTTTTACGGCGTACGCAGTGGCCTTCTTTCCTACAGACGGTCCCGCATGACGTTAATCATCCATCATCGCAACTAAACTGACTCGCCGACAGCTTGCATATCCGTACACACACACAAGGACCGTCGAGACAACACTATGCACCAGCCGCATCCCAGTCCATGCTCCCAGGAGAACGGCGGGCGGCCACATCCACCACCACCGGGTCGCCGTCCCGTTGGAACTTCAGATGCTGTCCACAGTCCACCACCACCACCCCAGAAACCATCACCCGCCAGTGTTCCACCGGGGCGGTCGAGACGCGGCCGTTGATTTTCTATTTCTCCTCTGCCGTGGAACAGCGCCTCACTGCCGTGGCTGACGGAGGCACTTCCTAGCGCTCCAGAGTGGTAGCTACCAGAGAGACCCCTGCTCACGACCCCCAACTCCGAGGTCTGTGCCACACGCAGCTCTCTCTCTCTTCTGATTCTTCTCCTTGACCCAACGAGGGAGGCAGCTCGCATTGTCCACCTCTCCAAGCTTGGCATTTCTTCCCTCGGAGAGAGTGAGTCTTTCTTCAATCTTGCAAGCACGTGTGGACCGTTCGCCGTCCTTTTTACCCCCCGTCTCCGGTTCGTCGAGTCGCCCATCCCGGCTGGACAAACCCGCACCCCCTTACCTCCAGCTGGAGTTGGTTCGCTTCAGCTCGCTTCGTCCAATTCTTCAGTCAAAAGAGGACAAGTTCATCCATCCAAGAGACGTAACGTTTCCTGCCGAGTGGCCCGCAGCCCGCTTGACGCCATCAAATTCGCGGCAGACTGCAGTGCCGATCTCTGACGCGCCTCCAACAGCGACCAGCCGGTAAACTCTAAAAACGCACGCTTGAACCCTTTCAGGCTCAGGGGGGGACAGGCACACCACGGTACATACATGCCTACTTAACTTACTAAGTAGTAGAGGGCTAGAGCCTAACAGTTTTGGGCTGCTCAAATCTCAGCCAAATCTTCGAAACCTGGCCGAGATCGACGTCCCGGTGGTGCTTTGCTTCGCTCTGCTGCGGTGCTTTGCTTGATGGAGATACCCACTCTCGCGCCTCTCGCCCTCTTTGATTCTTCAACAATTGGAATGCCATCATCCAACACACCACCATAACCACCACGCATCTCTCGCTCTCTTTCTCTCGCTTGCCACCCACCCCCTTCACCTATAATCCTGCCGTCTGCCCAACCAACCCCCACGCCCTGTCACACGTCAAGCCATCGTCCCGGGACGCGGAACAGCAGCAAGCTACTCTCTAGCTGCTGATTGCTCGCTCCTTACGCGACCGGCTCCGTTCTCCGCGAATCCTTCGTGCCAATCACTAAGAGATCCCGTTCCCACCGATCGAAAAGGCAGTTCCCACATCACATCCCCGCAGCTGGCTCTCCGTCTGTCCAACCTGCCTGCCTTGCTACCTGCCTCAGACACAGGCCACCTTCGCCCGACAGACGTCCATCGCCGTCCCAGGCCACCAAAAAAACCTGAGCAACCGTCGGCCAGATGCGCAATGGACCTGGATGAGGACGCCAAGCCGAACCTGATGGCATTGGACATGAGCGCGAACGCGAGCGTCAGGAGCGACTCCCTCAACGCTTTCGATCACCCTGACATGCAGCAGCAGCAGCAGGGGCCGAAAGCACCCATCAAGCGCAGAGCCCCAATCGCCTGCCGAAGGTTTGTCACACCCGTTCCACGGGAGCAGCCTCGCCTCGCCTCGCTCCCCGAACCGCAGTTGGAATGAACGAGCTAAGAAACCCGTTCGCGCAGATGTCGACGAATGAGAAGCAAATGCATCCATGATAAAGCCCAACCCCCGTGCAAGTCCTGTGCCGAAGCAGGCTTGCAGGCGAGTGACTGGTACGGTACCGAGCAGCCGCCGCCGCCCTGAGAGCGACGATCCCAATGCGGCCACCCAGCTAACCCGCAACCACAGTGTTTTTCCGCAACGCGGCCAGCCAGACCTCGACCGCGAGTATCGGCATCCGCGTTTACGGGCCGAGAAGGCCGCCAAACGCGAAGCCGACAAGGCTCGTCGCAGCGCTGCCTCTGACGGCATCCCCCGGGGCCCAGGCGCACCGGGGGCCGCCCGGAAGCCCGCGGACGAGTGGGCCCTTCTCCCGCCGCTCCCCGAGATCATCGACGCCGTCCACGTCTTCACGAGCAAGTACTTCCAGCTCGGCTTCATCCCGAAGGAGCTGCTGCCCCAGCAGTTGCACCGCGACCACCGCTCCGTCAGCGTGTTTCTCGTGCTCGGCATCCTCAGCGTCTCGGCGCGCTTCTCGCCCACGCTAACTGAGAGGTACGGAGGGGAGATGAAGGCCGTCGACTTCTTTATGGAACGGGCGAGCAGCCTGGCGTTGAATGAGCTGTATCAGGAGCCCACGCTGGAGAGGTGCCAGGCGTTCTATCTGCTGAGTCTGGCGCAGCAAGGCAGCGGGTGGAGGAACCGGAGCTACGTACGTTTTGATGTCAGGATTGGCTGTTCGGTTCTGTGCTAATCCTCAATAGATTAACATTGGGATTGCCACGAGAATGGCCGTTCTGATGCACTTGCATCGGGAAGAGTTCTACAAGATGAAGAATCCTACCAGGGAGATGATCATCAGGGCAGAGTCGGCCAGGAGAACTTTGGTGAGTTCAGACACCGTTCCAAGCGATGATAGATTGCTAACAATGTGTAGTGGATGCTTCACAGTCCGTCATCCTAAAAGATTCCAACTTTGAACATGATATTGACATCTCCACAGGCCAGGATAACCTCCACTGCGGCGCCTTATCGCCCGTCTCCCTCGCCGCCAACGACATCACCGCCCTCCTCCCCAGCAACGAGGACGACTTCGCCAACGGCCGCGAGCCGTACTCCCGCGCAGCTCTCGAGGACACCCCACCGGCACGCGACAACCCGTCCCTGATCCACCAGCCCTCCCGGTCTCTATTTGCGAGCCTGATCCAAGCACACTACTACTGGGGCAAGGTTGCCCGGCGAGCAATGGCGACAATGAAGAGCGCCAACCCCTGGGACCCGACAAGCGAGTACGCGATCATGGCGAAGCAGCTCATGAACTGGGAGCACCAGCTTCCTGCGGACCACCGGTGGAGCATGGTGTTGTTGAAGGGGCACAAGACCGTTGGCGAGGATCTGGTGGGTTTTGCGACTTACGATCGTTGGGATTGGGGTTTTGGCTGACTTTAATAGGCATATTTGGGTGTCACGATGATTACGAAGCTGTGCAACATTGTTCTCCGGAGGGCGTACTTGGACAAGTAAGGGGTTCCTTCATGGTTCTGATAGGAGAGCAAGCACTGACTTGAGCAGCATCATCAAGACGGACGAAAAGGACACCCAACGCCGAAGCTTCTTCTCCCAAATGTCCGACGACCTCTTTCGCAACGTCCGCGAGCTGTACGAGCAGGTTGACGCGCAGTTCAGCGTCAGGTCGTCGGAAGAGGGTGTCGGGGCCCAGATGGCTTCCTTCTGCGTTTACAGTTGCGGCTTGTTTTCGACGTACATGGTCAAGTACAAGAACAGTGGGTAGCGACTAGAAGGTGTTCATGGGCATCATGCTAACTTGTCTAGTCTGCTCCGACAAGTCCATCGTAGCACAAGCACCGAACATGCTCCAGCGCTGCATGTCCATCCTGATCGAGTCCAAGCAGACATGGCCGCTCGCGTCGCGCTGGCTGGAGTCCCTCGAGCGTTTCTCTCGCGATCCCAAGGCTGCCGCGTATAGTAGCATGGCAGACGGCGTACGTTCACAACCCGCCACTCGTGATCTACGAACTCGCATACTGACAACTCACAGAATGACCGCACCCTACGCCCATTACATCCCTCGCCCTCCACCTTCAACAAGCCCCGCGCAGAAACCCCGAAATACCAGCTCCCCGTCCCTCTCCCCGGTCCTCCGGCGACGCCCCTCAACGAGAAGAAGCCGCCGCCCCTCCGCCACAACAGCACCAGCAGCAACACCTCCAACATCCTCCCCCCGCCGAGCCCGTCGCCCAGCATCCAGCAGCAACACCAGCCGCAGCAGCACAACACCCCCTTCCCGCTGCCGCCCCTGAACACGCCTCAGTTGCAGCAGCAGCAGCCGCTCCAACACCAACAACACCTTTCTCCACACCAACAACCACCACCGCAACAACACATGCACCAATTCCACCACCAACAACAACCGTCTCCTCCGCAAAGACACCACCAACCGCCGCCCCCTCACCAGCACCAGATGCAACAGCAACAGCAGCTGCCCCCGGAGCTGCAGCAGCACTTCTCCCCGACAATGTACGCCCAGGCCCCGCCGCCGTACAGCCCCAACAACGGCATGGGCATGCTCGTCCAGGCCGCCTTCGACACCACCAACCCCATCGGCTCGCCGGGCTACGACCCGAATGTGGCGGTGTTCTACTCGTCCCCCGGCTCCGCGTCCATCACCCTCGGCCCCGGCACCGACGGCTTCGAGTGCGAGCTGCAGAGCTGGTTCGACGGCACGGCGCCAGTGCAGGCGACGAGCTGGATCGGGAACGGGGCCGCGGGGTTGGGATGGTTTGGGTCGAACTAAACCCGCCCTTCACGAAAGGGTGTGGTATATGACAACTTTCGACGTTTCTTTACAGTTATAATTAAGAGATAAGAGGGGGATGACATAAGGTCCCACGGATTTACAAAAGATGAGGCAGGCGTCTTAGACTGGGTTCCGCAACGACATTGGATTTATCTAGAAGAGATATGGGCTGCGCTTTTCTACCTTTTTCTTTAATACGGTCCGGTTATGTAAGGATTTGGCGCGGCGCGAAAGAGAAAAGAAAATGAGGGTCCGCGATGGGGAAGGTTATTACACCACACACAACCCATTTGGTAGCGGCGGCGTTCTTCTTCTTTTTGTTTAGGCAAGCGAAGCGAGGCAAGCGGAAAGCGGTAACTGTCTTGTTTTGTCGGTTGCTTAGAGACGAGATACCATAGTGAAATTCTACGCCTTTTCTTTGACCTGGTTTAGGGATGTGTCTTGTGAAGTTGTGTGTTGATGTTGCTGTGTTGTGTCACTGCAGGCGTTTATAAGTCTGTTCACCTGGGTGCCTTTGCTGTTAATGTCCCATGATGAATCATTGTGTTCATTGTGAGACACGTCGTCGTGCTTTCGACTCGTGCAGCGATCCGTACTTTTGCGTCCGTATCACCGAGGTATCTAAGCTGCCCCTCCTCCAGGATCGATACAGGTGACAATGATTTCTGAGAACAGATTTCCGTGCTTTGTTTCGTTCCGGCAAAGGTTGAGGTATCATGGGCGTTCCTGCCCATCTCGGGTCGTGCTAAGCTCTGATGTACATCCCGTACTCACAACTCGGTATCAGCCCAGCTGGCAATTATTCCCTCCTGAATAAATCTTGGTAGACACCGATCAGGGATACATTATGTCAAAAGCACTGACAGAAATTGGGCTTTCGATAAGAAAGCAGAGTCATTTTTGAAATTAATTCTGGATGCAGTTCTTTCCAGAATGAAGCGGTGGGCATCATGATAGATGTGAGGAAAAAGTAACAAATATCGGAGAGGTTTTCTTATGTGTACATGTTCTGTGTGCTGTGTATCTTAGACGTCATCAGTCATGAGCCTTTGATCTGCTGCAGCCCACGTCAGTATAAAAGCATGCCTTTGTGTGAGTGGTATAGTTGAGAAAGCAGGGCAATGGAAGCGAAATAGATATCAAGCTCGCAGTTACTCATCGGCCTCTGGCTCTCACGTCTATTTTGCCAAGCTGATCGTCGATGCCCATATTCAGTCTTTGAGTTCTTTGAGTCGGTACATAGTCTCCGCCAGCGTCTTCGTCGTGTGGGTGTCGTGTACGAACAAAGACCAAGAGGCGCACGACTTCGAAGGCAGCTGCACTCTGACGCTTCTTCCTGGGGCTGCAGACAAGCGGCTTCTCTCTGGTCGTATCACTCAAGACTTCATCGTGCTTCAAGTGATGACTGCCGCTAACGCCACTCCTGGCTTGTGTCTTCGCTGCCTCTTCAGGATGTGGTTCACAGACTGTTATTTATATTAGCTCTTTCAGAAGCCTTGAGGCTCATCTGTGGTAGCAATAAAGCTAATATGAGGTTCGGGCCATGGCGCCGGGAGGACGCTTCCACGAGCTTGATGTTCGAGCTGGATGTCCGGTATAAGAAGGTCTCGGGCGGCCCTGAGTGTTCCGTAATAAGACGGCAAATGGTGAGATACGATGATGGTGAGATGGATATGATGATGGCGCGGTCTTCTGGCGTGCGAAAAGAAAGGCTCTGAAATGAACAAATATTACGTCTATAGATACCTAGTATAAGGAGATAAGTCTGTCCTTAATCATCATCCATCATCCGCAGTATACTGAGAGTATTCTACGTTATGTATTTAGATCATGAGAGAACGAAACCCAGACCACATTCCTGGGACTAGGAAGCCGCTCCGAGGCTAGATTGGCGTTATTTGTGCCTCACCAGTGTTGTAAGAATGAGGACTAATGGCTTCGGCTACGCTCAATCACTAACCTGCAAGAGCTCCTTATTTGTGCAGATGGATATGGGACTTGGCGATGGGGTGTATTTATAGATGGGCTGGCTGTTCTTTGTCTGAAAGATTCTTGGCACCGTGTTCGATTTACCACGAGGCGAGCGTTTCGACAAGTGTAGAATTCAGACCAGTATATGATCTATACCAAGCTCTCTGGCTACTGCAACTGTCCCGTAACAAGACGGCAAATGTCGCAGCTGTGCGATGATCAGCATACGCAAAAAAGACACAGCCCTCTTACTTGGGAAACTTTACTTTGACTCACATAAGTTGTTGCATTGATCGTAGCACCATTCTTATCTATCAGTAAATAGCGTACGTTCTTCTCATCTGTCGTCTGCCGCGTCTGAGGGGTATTCTGCACATATCTCTTAGTATTCACAGAAAAGAGGGTCGCGAAGCGTCGTGAAGCTGCAATGAAACACAGCTTAATTCAACGTTACTTAACAAAAGAGTAAGATCTGTAATTTCATGGTGAAGTATTCCCAGCCCAACTTCATCAACGGATCTAGGAACACTGCTGCCAGATCACAAACGTGGATATAAAGAAGCCCCCCGGCCATTGCAGTTGTCCCGCAACAAGACGACCAATGTTTGCTTATGATGGAAACACTCATTTTGACTCAGAGAAGAAGTCTTCTTGCAGCATCTGAGGAGCTACGTCTGGCGCGGTGGCATGTCTGGTCTAGAGGAGGCGAACCCTGCCGCCATTATCATTTGGCTTCAACACCGTCGTAAGATTATTCTGCCCCACACCTCGCAATAAACACGGAGCAAAAGCTTAGATCATGGTGATTGGGTTGAGAAACCTCTGCGAGTCGAATCGTATGGATGATTGTGCCTCGCCAGCAAGGCTCAAGAATAAGGCACGCTATCTCTGGCAAAAATCAACCACTTCCCACAGAGCGAGTCAGATACAGTAGATTTGAATGGGAGTCACCGATGGGCTATATTTATAGCTGAGTCGACTGGCGCAAGTTCGCATAATTTGCCCAACCGTTGTATGAAATAGGAAAGTTCGAGTCAACAGTATCTACACATACTTGAAATCATTGCAATAACTGAGCTGTGCTCTTGGCAACTTGGCCAGAGAACACTCTCTTCATATAGTTTTCCATCGTGACTTGAGGAGTTCTTGAGCAACAGCGAAGAATCAACCGGCGGTTGTTGGATATGGAACTCATGGAGCGCTTGGAGTGTTGTTTTGAGCGAAAGACTCGCACAGTGCCGACTTCGGAAACATCGGACAGCTTGTTCAGCTCTCGTTCTGTGCAACTCTCATCGCCGGCTAGCTTACACTTCTGAATACTTCCACGGAAGACGTCAACGACGGCGCCAGAACCCTTGGTCTGTATTGCTTATTTTCTGCGTGACAGGAACACTGAGTGAAAAGTCAAATGACTTCATCAGAAACCCACTCACGGGTACCGATCATGCTCCTCGGTGAAAATATCCTCTTTTGGGTAATGTTTCTTCTTTCGTACGATCTAGGGAATATATTTAATTAGACAACCGATTTTAGATGATGCATCGGTTGAGTTTATTAACGAGACGATCGGGGCACGTTTTCATAATCCATCCAATGTTCTTATTCAACAAACAGGTGGGGTCAGTGGTAGTGATGTTCGTCGCATTCACCCATCTTGCGCACCCATCTTGCGCATTGACAATTGACAACTTGAGTGGAGAACTCTTCCGCCGCATATAAATATTAGAAAAGTCATTGAGTAAACGGCCAAGGCAATGGTGTTCTCGATGACTGTCAAATGTTCTTCATGCAAGCGAGGCGCATCCAGTCTGAGTCATCTTTGACACAATTGAGATCATTCAGCGCTTGATCTGTGCCACTCGACATTGCCCACAAGTCTATATCTCTGAATACTTCGCCAGAGATCAGGAACAACAGCTCCAAAACAACTTGTCGTCGTCTGTCATTTGTCGTACGCCTGATGACTGCATTGTCTGCGAAGGCTGGGCTTTTGTAGATTCGGATGTTGCATCAGGAAACGCCTAGCCAACGAGTTTATTCTTCTCTGCCTCGCTCATAGTTCCCCTGTGACACGACTTAATCAGTTTAAATACCATTCATTATAACTGGAGTCACACACTATCTCGTCCGAGTGACCGGGTGTTGGCCAGGTCAGTGTCTGGACTTGTTGCACTTGAGGTTCCGATCATGAACGATGCTCAATTCAGTATCAAGTTGCCATTCATTGACACTCACTCGTTCTACGGTTGGACCGTGTCGGAGAGAAAACTGTAGGATCCAACTGCTGCTTTAGCAGTCTTACTATTTAACATGCGAAATGATACTCTATGTGCCAGACTTGTTTATAACCTTGAGTTCTGTGGGCACTTCTTCGACCAGAGGTCCGGCGCTGGAGCTTTTGCTGTCAACCCGTGCGTGGAGGCAAAAGTCCGCTATCCACGAGAATCCGAGAACTGTCAACCGACTGCGTTATCCACGTTCAATTCCTTGCAAGTCATTCAATGCTGACGGTACCACTTCTCGCCAGATCCTTCGGGAATTTCCTCGCGGTCAAAGGTCCAGAAGTCGCTCGAAAACCTGCCCGCTCGCTCAAACCAAGCGTCCGAGAGGTCCCCGGGGCTCAGTTTCATGAGGCCGTTGTAATTATCGGCATCCTCGACACTTTGAAAACGTTTCACGGCGAGGGAGTCAATAAGCCAGACAAATGAGCCAGCCCACAAATCATGCCGTGCCTTGTGGCGAATAAGTCAGCATTTCAGGGATAATGTTTCTGCCAAAATAGATACTTACGCGTCTCTCGGAACGAGACACCATTTCCAACGACGGTGTCTCTTCAGGCAGTGCGGCGAGTGTGCGAAGAGAAGCCTCATCAATGACCAAAAAGTCGCAAAACCTCGTGTTGTCACGGGGGTCGAGATCAGCGTTTTCGCCAACCGCCTTCTTGCGCCAGTCTTCGAAAACTTGTGTGAGTGATTGCATGTCTCGTTGAGAAGTATCCTCAGATAGATTTAATAACTTCAAGTCCTCGAGAGTTTTGTTCTCAACAGGTTCGAGGACGAACCGGCGCGCGAGCTCCTCATTTATTTCGCCATTAGGCTTGTTCTTGATGAGTCGATTTCCATGGATGAAGTACTGGGTAATCCAACGGTTGAGCTTCTTCAAGGCGATAGACCAGAGTACGTCAGACTCTTGGGTGTAGACGACGCGAAGGACTACGGGGAATGTGAGCAAAATGAAAGTGTTGAGTCATAAATGTAATATACCAGTGTATCCCCATGATCCCTCCGCGTACGTGACGCCTGACTGCCTGCACCGGCCCATAGACCAGAAGAGCTCTTGAACCCATCCCATGGCCTGAGTGTCCTTGTCGCGGTTGCTTGCATGACTGTGATATTTGTAAAACCCCGGGTCAGGCTCGGGGAATGTTCGTTGGATCAACATCGTGAGATTTGAGGGCTAATCGCGCTTGCAGCACGACAACCTCCAGAGTAAATCTCGCATGAATACCGTCTCCCAGATTCCCGCAAGATGCCGCGATCCTCCCAGAAAGGACGCTGCCATTTGAGACGGTTGGTGAACTCGACCGGCATAACCAACCACCGTCCGAAGATGGTCCGGCGCTGCACCGGCGGGTCTCTCGGCCGCAAATGGGCCGGTTCGAAAAGAGGGGTCCCTCTTTCCCCTAGACTACGAGAAACTCGGTTTAGCTTCATGTGCGCTATATGCACTAAACGAGTTCTCGTCGTGCATCCGAAGCTTGTTAATAACTTGTACAGGTCATGAGACGGCATGAGAACATGCTTTCCCGTAAGCACAAGCTTTGCATTTCGGTAGGGCTGCACTTGGTTCCTAAAGCCGTCGGCACCAAGCCGACTCTTCAAGATTGACCTCGACTCCGAATCTCCGACTCCTGATCCAGCGCCCGCCGGGAGGCTACTCCAAATGGACCTCAAGTTAGACTTACCCGGCCGGCATCGCGGACTCGACCACCGCCTAGACGACATTAGGCCACTTCAAAATACCCTGAACGGCGTCGTACTCGTCATTTAGCTCGCCCTCTGCATGCCATCAATGCATCATGCAAATCACTGGCAGTTCGTTCCAATGTGTCTGAAGGGCCAAAATCTTTGGTAAGAAAGTTTCGACAAAAGAGTCGAAGGGGAGTGCGAAGCGAAAATTCGCCGAACATCGCTTGCCTAGATGTGCATAACTAATGGAAGTGAAACTAGGCGCTTTGCCTTTATGGGACCCGACCAACTCGCGCATATCCAACAGTTCACGGATGAAGCAGCCGTCTTCCGCCTCGCCACTCTGCCTTGAGAGAGTTTGGCCTTGCTTAAATCTCAGCTATAATCAAGAGAGAATTAAAATTCCTCCCGGCGAAGCATTAAGTTCCTTCACCCTGCCAGGGACTTGAATCGCTGACCTGATGATCAGATGAGTTTGTAGTTACGACGCAGCCCCCGCGGGAAAAGACTACGGCAAATTTACCCTATTCGCGGGCCCAATTCTGGAAACACTACATGGGCACATTTTCCTGTGCCCTCTACTGGTTAAGGAAAACAGTACAGAACCCCACATGTTCCTGCTGGCAAGCAAACGCTCTGAGCATCAACATCACTTGAAAAGGTTCAACTGGGATCAGGCGAACATCTCCCAAGTTGCCTTTTGTCCCGGAGGTCCTTCTCCATACGCAATTCTGTGGACGAGACTACCAACAAGCTTCCACTAGACTCCACGCCCAGTTAACTGCTTAAGCAATCTCGTATTCTTACTACTATCATTGGGCAACCGCGATAATACCACAGTGGATCCGCAATGACTCAGTCGCATATGTATTGATAGCTAGGAGAGACAGTCCTTGACTGCTGTTTTCCCTTTCAGCATTTGTTAGCGTTGAGTCTATCATAGTGCTGCGTGCCCCCACAAGCCGAAGATAAACGAGGATCTCTTGTTGGGCTCGACAATTGGATGTCTCCTTGTCAATCTCCTCGAACCCGGCCGTCATATCTATCTCTAGAATAGTGTAGGAACAATAGAGGAGGATCCGAGCTGTCAATTTTCTCACATCGCCTCCTTATCGACGAAGCAAAATCTTCTCTGTCTTTTAAACATGAAGTGGCTGATGGGCTATTCTCGGCTGGACGCCGACAGCGAGCTGGCATTGCCGCTTGAAGCTGAGAAGTCATCTGCTTCATTGAATCGTTGGATGTCAAGTTTTCGTTCGAACCCGGTTGAGTTTGTATGGCGCTTCACATGTTATTTCATGTTCATCACCGGTGCTTTGATGATGGTGACAGCTCTGAGATCTGCCCCGTCAGAAAGGTACTGTGCTGCGCAGCTTAGTATTTGGTGTAAGTGTGATGAGCTCTTCTTTTCTTTTTCTTCCAGATTTCCCACTGCATTGTAAATATGGGCAGTCACTGATGAATCAACTAGCTCCTCTATTGGAAGCTGTCGAGTATGAGCAACGTGACTTTGAAAGTGGCCTCGGATTAGATAACTCAGGCTTCACCGGCCTTCCCACTGCAGAGATGGAGGCTAAGTGGGAAAGCCTTTCCCAAGGTATGAAGAGATATCTCACCAGACCAGTGAAGTAGACACATTGCTGACAGTTAATCTTCTATAGTCCCTGGTGTCATCATTCCACCTGATCGTGTGCCCTATCTCAACAGAAGCGTCGACCAAGGTTTTGTGACCGCGGTTCCCGACTCTCCTTCCTTAGGTTACGTCGGTGTAGTCGAGGTCTTTCATCACCTACATTGCCTCAACATGCTACGACAATACATATGGAAAGACTCATACCCTCAAGATATAACTCCCAGCCTCCTCAAGTCTAATTCGCCAGCCATTGCCCGGAATCACACAAGTCACTGTATTGATACGCTGCGTCAGGCACTTATGTGCACTGGCGACGTTACCCCATATTTGGTTTATAAGAAGAAAGATTCTGAGGCGTCAGAGGCGCCTATCAGAGAAGACTTCCAGGCATCTCACAAATGCAGGAAGTTTCCCAAGCTACTAGATTGGGTGAAAAAGAATGGTGTTGCACTCTCGTTGAAGTCAGTAAGCCAGAACATGTAGTAAAATATTACTATCCTCTTGATGGTTATCTCAGTTTTGCCTACATTGCTTATCCTGTTTAAGAAGAGCTGCTAAGCTCGTTGGTTTTGCTTGGTCAGAGTCGAGGTACTGCACGCGAAGCCCTTGCAGGAAAGCTCCTAGGGAATGTATGCTGTGGACAGCCATGTGCTCAGTCTCTCTGAGAAGAACCTCTCTCTGCACGTGGCGAACGAGGTCAATTAGGGATATTCTGCCGACTGATCGATTCTCCCGCAGTCACCCCGCTTCTTTTGACTTGGTATCAATACTTCTGCGGGGATCTTACCTGTCAACTCAGCCAAAGGCTTATTTTTGTGTAATTATGTCCATCGTATGATGTAGTCAACAAAACGGGCGACCCTTCAAGAGTTAATCTGTGAGATGCCGACGGATATGTGCCTTGATTGTACTTCGTCTCTGTTGTAACCGAGAGACTATCCCGCCCGCCGGCTACTCCGCCCGCAGCTGCTCCTGTATCATGACACTAGAGGCGGGACAAAGAGTGACATGTAGGTCATGTACTGAGAGACGGTCCATGAGTTCGTCATCTAATGGATGGTGTGTGGGGACCCCTAGGTCAGTAACTTTGAAAAGGCCGAACCAACAGAAGTGTAAGTGATATGGCGGTGGAGATGGTAGGGATGCTAGGAATTTCTTAGACCCTGACCAACTGCCCTGATGTATAAGGCCATCAGTCATCCCACGTTTCCACGTTTCCACTTCAGATCGGCCCTTTTATGATTGGACTTTATCTCCCTCTCGCAAGTAGGTATACCCCGGTAGCCTTTAGTCCCAACGGAGGGGATGAGCTATGCCTTTTCTAGCTTTACTTAGTCTGAACTATAGACTCCAAAGAACCACACGCAATAAAGGTAAAGCCAGGACCATGAACTTGATTGAACTGCGCGATGTAGCTGAGAAATTTTGAGCGTGGCACATGACGCCGACACAACTTTAACTCAAGATGGCAGGAGAACACATTAAGTTCCAGCTGCTGAGAGGGTCAAGATGAGGGTACGAGTCGGCATGTTGATGTCAGACCAGTTTTCCCGGAAAGGAGTTAAACAGCATTGGTTATCCTGAGAACCGTGCTGAGCGTCTGCAAGATTAGGGGGTCAGCGAGTGTCACCTCCAAGAGAACGTGGGCGTGAAGTTATGGTGCAATACCATCATTCAGCTGGACTGACGACTTTGGTACTGCGCCCGCCCAAACATCGCTGCTCGGTTCACTAATACGGGATCAGGAAGTACAACTTCAGTGCCTAACGAGACTCATCATACATGCCTTGACGCTATCAGGATGAATTTCATGTCCTGTCCAAACGACGACTCCATTGGGCCGAGTGTTCAAGGCTGCCGTAATGACTTCGACTTCACGCTCAAGTTCGAGAGAATCTTCCTGGAAATTCTACCCGCTACCTTATTCATCGCTCTTTCGATCCCAAGGATCATAATTTTGGTTCGCAGACCAAAGATAGTGGGCGGTATAAGCTTTCAGTGCATCAAGCTGGTATGTGCCTCGCGAAATGTGTGTCAACCACTCATGTTAACTCGTCAAAATAGGCTGCAACTACCATCTACGCAGTCTTACAAGTGGCCAATCTCATTCTCAACAGTACAGTTATCGCCCGGGCAACGGCGATAGCAACTGTTGCTGCTGCTTTGAGCCTTATCGCAGCACTATGCATGCCGGTACTGAGCTTCTTTGAGCATTCTTGCTCACCGCGACCTTCCATCTTGCTCAACACATTCTTGATCTCAACTATTCTCTTGGATGCTGCGCAAGTACGATCGCTATGGCTATCCGCCGTCACCTTCCGCGAAGTCACCATAGCGCGAATATTCACTGCTGCCGCCTCCTGGAAGATTGTCTTGGTTGTGTTGGAGTCTTGGCAAAAGCTGTCGTGGATTCCCTGGGACCGCAAAGATCACAGCCCAGAGGAAACAAGCGGCGTATTCGGATTAGCGACCTTCTCATGGCTCAATCCGCTATTCATATGTGGTTATAAGAGAGTCTTGACTGTACCGGATCTCTTTCCTCTCGACAAGAGTTTGTCAGTGAAGACTCTCCAGGACACTACTCGAAGACTAGAGCCTCAGAATTTTCAGGGGCAGAGCCATGGTCTTGCCAGAGCGCTCGGGAAACGCCTGGTTACTCCTTTGTTACTGCCAGTTGCTCCCCGGATTGTGCTCCTTGGCCTTGTGTTCTGTCAGCCATTTCTCTTGGAGGCTCTTCTGAACTTCCTAGAGGATCCGAAAACCAGTCAATACGCCAATAGAGGTTACGGGTTGATAGGCGCTACGTTCATCGTCTACATGGGCATTACGATCGCCAATGCTTTGTATTGGTATTTCCAGGAACGGCTCTTGTGTGCGATACGCGCCTATTTGGCTGCAGAAGTTTATAGGAAGACCCTTCAGGCCAAAATTTCAACTGCGGATAACTCGGCAGCCTTGACATTGATGAGCGCGGATATTGAGCGAGTCCGTATGGGGCTTATGGAATTCCACGAGTTTTGGGCTAATCCGATACAAGCCGGTCTGGCCTGTTGGCTGCTCGAAAAGAAACTCGGCGCCTCGTTCGCCGTACCCATCGTTCTCATTGTGCTGTGCATTGCCAGCTCTGCGATTCTTATGCGATATATCGGGCCACGGCAAATGGCTTGGATGGAAAGGATCCAAAAGCGCATCAGTCATACGGCGAACGTCTTTGGTAACATGAAGTCCCTGAAAATATCAGGATTGGAAGTTCCCTTTGAAGACACCATCAATTCGCTACGGCTGGACGAACTCAAGGTCGGAGGCAGATTCCGGTGGTTCCTGGTCATCTCGGTGGGCATCGGATTCACACCTGTTCTGTTGGCTCCTGTTTTTACCTTGGCTTTCACAGCCCGGGATCTTGACGTCACGACCATCTTCACCTCCATTTCGTATTTACTCCTGCTATCAGAACCGCTTTCGTCCCTCTTCCAGCTGGTTCCTCAATTGATTGCCGCTTTTACATGCCTGCAAAGGGTGCAGTCTTTTCTGCAGGAAGAATCGCGGCACGATTTTCGAGACCACGAGGTTTTCATTGATCCTAAGGTTTCGGGTTCGCACAGCGCAGCCTCACCAGTTGCCAAAATAATCGACGGGAGTTTTGGCTGGACCGAGGATTCTTTCGTCCTGAAAAACATCAACGTTGTGATTCCTCCCGGTCTGACCATGGTGATCGGCCCAGTTGCTTCTGGCAAATCCATGTTCTGCAAAGCTTTACTCGGCGAAATCCCCTTTACGGAAGGCCAGACTGTCATGAACATCAACTGCCGCACTGTTGGGTACTGCGAACAAGTTCCATTTCTATGGAACGCATCTATAAGGGACAACATAGTTGGTTTCTTCACGGCTGTGGATGAGTCGAGATACGCAGCCGCCATTGAGGCCACTATGCTTTCCCAGGACTTCCGTCTTCTTCCCCACGGCGACCTAACCGTGATCGGCAGCAATGGAATCAGTCTGAGTGGAGGACAGAAACAAAGAGTGTCTATAGCGAGAGCTCTGTATAGTCACTGCGACCTCCTCGTTTTCGATGACGTCTTAAGCGCTCTTGATGCAGATACACAGGAGCACGTCTTCCGCCGCGTATTCGGTCCCAGCGGGATGCTCAAAAGAAGAATTGCGAACGCTGTCCTCTGTACCAACGTTTCGCAGCATCTCCAGGCAGCTGACTATGTCATCGCACTGGCCGCCGGCGGCACTGTTGCGGAAAAGGGTAGCTTTGATTATGTCATTGCCAGCGGACAAGACGCAATTCATAATTTGCTAGGGTCAACTGGTCCCAAGAATGGTGTGGATAACGAGAAATCAACGACATCAGCATCAATCACAAATATTGATGTTGCAACACCCCACAACCAACATACATCATCTGAGGACCAACGGGATACCAAAGATGGTGCACGCAGTATGGGCGACGCTTCGGTGTTTCGGTTCTACTGCCGGAAAATCGGAGCAATTCCGATGCTCGCATTCGCTAGTTTCGGCATCATGTTTGGCTTTACTTACAACTGCCCGACTATTTGGCTTAAGTTTTGGGGCGAGGATGTGGTCTCAACGAACCCGGCACATTCGACATCGTTCTACGTTGGTCTTTACGCCCTATTCCAGTGCTTAGCACTGGGATCTCTCATTACGGAGGCGATTCTTGGCTTCGTCGTCATCATTAGGCTTTCCGGAGCGAACTTGCACAAAGACACCCTCCGAGCCGTGTTTGCCGCGCCCCTGCGTTACTTTACGGCGACAGATACAGGGGTACTGACGAACTTATTTTCTCAAGACATGACTCTCATAGACGGGGAGCTTCCGCAGGCCCTCACCAACACATCGCTCCAAGTATGGGTTGGACTGGGATCAGCTGCTGTGATTGCGACCTCGTCTCCCTTTGTGATGATATCGTATCCCTTCATTGCGGCAATCATCTACGGTATTCAGAGGTTCTACCTGCGTACTTCTCGTCAGCTGCGTATGTTGGATTTGGAGGCAAAAGCTCCTCTCTAGTGAGTCTCAACTCCATCGGTAATGGGTTCGACACTTTGCTTATCTGTCTCAGCACCAATTTTATTGACACCATCAGAGGTTTGGTCACCTTTCGTGCCTTTGGCTGGACGGATGAAGCCACTCGTCTTAACAGCTCGCTCTTGGACACTTCGCAGAGGCCCGAATATCTCTTGAGTATGGTACAGCGTTGGTTGTCATTTGTCCTGGGTATTGTGGTCGCCCTGATAGCTGTGCTTGTAGTGACCCTTTCTACACAACTGCGCTCTAACGCAGGCTTTGCCGGTGCTAGTATGGTGTCTATCATGTCGTTTGGGAGAACACTGGCGAACCTTGTTGAGAAGTATACGCTATTGGAGACCTCTATTGGTGCTGTGGTGAGGCTCAGATCGTTTTTCGAAAACACCCCTCGTGAGAAATTGGCAGGAGAGGTCGTTGTCCCGCCTGCTTCGTGGCCGGAAAAGGCATTGGTCGCAATCAAAGGAGTATCTGCGTCTTACACGTAAGTATAGGCCTGATCAAGACAAAGTTGATTCTATGAGAATTTGCTGACCGACTTTGAGATACCATCACGACTTGACTTTGAATGAGAATAGATCGGACACAGCTTCAGACTACGCCAATCTTGCTCTTCAGAATCTCACGCTTACCATTGAGCCGGGTCAAAAGGTGGCAGTGTGTGGACGTACCGGCAGGTGAGCACTACCCTCAAAACATGATTCATGGTTATTCACTTACACCATGAACAGTGGAAAATCATCACTCGTCCTACTTCTTCTACGGCTCCTGGACCCTGTTTCATCCTGTTTAGGTGATATTTCCATTGATGGTTTCTCCCTCTACACCATCGACCGTGCCACCTTACGCCAACGTGTGATTGCGGTTCCCCAAGACCCAGTGTTCTTTCCAGATGGCGTGTCTTTCAGAATAAACCTCGACCCCTTCACAATTGCGACCGATGAAGAGTGCCAAGCGGTGCTGGAAACTGTGCGGCTTTGGGGATTGGTCAGTGACCAAGGCGGGCTCGGGGCTTCGATGAACGCGGACGCTCTTAGTATTGGACAGAAACAGCTTTTCAGCCTGGCGAGGGCGGTCTTGCGGAAGCGCGTGCGCATGCAGGAATTCTTAGCAAGTGCTGGAATTGAGTATGTGGACACTGCTCGATCCATAATTGGCAAAGATGACATAGAACTGCGGCCAACATCTGACACTCTTCGAGAAAGCAACTTTGGCGGGCTGCTTATCTTGGATGAGTTCAGCAGCAGCGTCGACGTGGAGACGGAAAAGCAAATGCAGCAGATTCTATGGAGCGAGTTCAAAAGCTATTCTATCCTTATGATAAGTCACCGACTCGACATGGTAATGAACTTCGACAGAGTCGTGGTGCTCGACTCTGGAAAGGTGGTTGAGCAGGGAATTCCACAAGAGCTGGTTCAGAAAGAGGGCAGCTGGTTCAAACACCTATGGACAATCGGTAGAGAGCGGTGAGAAAAGATACGCAGGGCATTGAGTAAGAGGCTTGCAGAAACCAGATTGTCACTAAGTTGAGGGATATCTTCTGGGGATTTATCATGATTGTTAGAGTGAAGTTCACAAAATGGAAAGGTCTAAGGCTGTTCGGCAGATGCAATTAGAGCCCAGAACGTAGTTCACAAATGATTGTAACACCCGGCTGTGAACATTCCACGAATATCAACATTTTCAACTATCAATATGCGCGAATCTAAGAACTGCACTACAGCATTATCCTTGCATGCCCTATCCTAGTGTTGTCTTATGGAGAATTCCAGCGCGAAGTCAAAAATCAAAATGCCAGATTCAAGACGGCATGTTCCATAGGTGCGAAATTGGCGAAACGGAACGATACACGAACAGCAAGCCCTCTTAAGCCAAAGGTTTAATTTGAAACATTGATTATATTCTGCTTACTCGAGTGGCCAGATATATAAGTAGGTACAGACATATATTATATTCAACTATCTTAGATATGCGTCTCTCTAACTTTCATGTCGCATCGTTCAACTCATCCTCAACGCATTGTAACGAATGACAAGGGCACTGCATCCCTTGAAACTCGGGCTATGATAGTCTCAGACGCACCAACTTTAAAAGCTTTATCTAACGGTCCAGTTTTCATCAATCCAGTCTGAAATCTTATCAAAATTGCGACACTTGTGGTGCGTGTTGAAGTCCGCACGCGCACCCGCCGGTCCGCCTATGCGAACCATGAGGGGGGTGACGTCGGCGAAGCACATGAGTGAGATGCGCAGGGCTTCCAGGCAGTGATCGACATGAATGCGGTTCTTTAGGGGGTCGTTCGACAGCCCAACTGGGATCTTGTCATACTTGCCCACCTGCCACCAGGTATACACTCGTATCATGTTCTATGCAGAAGGCGAGCGTATCAGCAAACCTATTTCGGCGGGATTTGGGGAGCGAAACTGGTCATGTGGGCTTACCAGGCAATGGAGTTGATGGAAGACCTCAAGCAGTGCGACATAACCGTCGCCTACATCTTCAGGAACATGCTTCAGGTGATCTTCTTCAGATCGATTGAGACCTGCAAGCCTTTCAGGCGGGATTTCGACCGCATGCTCTGGTTTTTGGTCAGCTGGCGAAGGCTGGTGTGTGGGTGAGACGTAATAGCAAACTTACTATACGTGAGGTCAAACCAGGCTTGCTCTCTCTCTGGAGTTGGAAGCCCACGGTAAATGCTTGTTGAGTTAAAGGCGTCATTGAAATCCATTTGGACATATTCAACGGCCTCAAGTGCAGGAGCTGTATGAGTCAGAACGCGTCTGTGTTTTGTCTTACTGCCCAGCTTTGCCAGGAGGGTTGAAGGACAAGACTTACACCACATAGACAGTTGACGAGCACAATCCTGATCAGTCGGAGCTCGCAAGAAAGAAAATACGAAACCGAAAGCCATGCTGAGAACCAGTATACTTAGAGGAATGAGGGAGCTCTGAAGTAAACCAGTAATCCGTGATGGAGCTCTTTGGTTCCATTCTATCCAGCGGAAGCGCTGCGCAATACTCTTCTCGCCGGCGTGGCAGTCGCCAAAGTCTTCAACAGACTCAGAGTCACGACTGTCGGCCGACATGAGAGGCTTGTAAGATGGGCTCTTGACTCCCATTGTAGACAGCATTGTGGATGGGCTGGGTGCGAGGGCGAATTCAGAATGAAGAAGGGTTAGACAAGTGGGAGACAAGATGCCTAACGCGTAGCCTACTGATAGCGGAAAAAAGGAGTCTCTGAATGATATATGATCGTATTTCCGCAAATCGCTTGCTCGGGTGAATACGAATGTTTCCCTTACTCAAGTGATTAGAGTCTAACCGGCGGAGCGGCGGAGGATACGAGAGCTTTAATTTTCCAGACGTCAATTTCGGTGCGGTAAATACTTTAAGTTCCTCTATACCGAGAGAGTTCCAAGAAGGTCAAGAAATCCCTTCTAGAATCGACTGATTCCATCGTCAGAAGAACATCGTGCATCTGGATCAGTCTAGCGAAGTCTTTTCGCTAGCTCGTTTCATCGTGTCAATGGACCATGTTGAAGGGTTAGTACTGTGAAGCGGAATTGGCGGAGTCGTTGCTTCCTATGTTGTTGGCAATTAGGAAACGGCATTATTGAGGCTAGGTTATGATGCTTGCCAACATTCCTCATCAGGAAAAGGCCAAAACTAAGATCGATAAGGGTTGCAAGCAGTATTTGATGGAGATACAAAGAAGGTACAAGTTGTAGGGTTACCTAGGATATGTTGCGAATGGAAGTTGAAGGCATACGGACGGAAACTATCGTGTAACTAGCGTGAGGGGGTTCCGCGGAGATAACGTCGGGGCCGGGCTTCCTTCTAAGAAGAGAAGTCAGCCAACGCGACCCAGTTCCCATCAACGAGCGGATACGCATCCAAAAGACACTTGGGGCGCTCCCTGATTTGGCTTTGATGATGCATCTATTGAATGAGTCGGACCAAGCGCGCACCCGAAGTTAATATGTTACTAAGTACCCATCTATTGAATGAGTCAGTGGAACTGTTGGGGTAAGGTTAGCCGCTAGTGCATTTTGACAACGTATTCCTATAGACCCTTAGAACAAACGGATAGACTCATGTTCGAGACGAAGTGCTTGAGTCGTGCGATATTGTTGAATGCAATGGAGGCATGGTGTAAGACGCGATGTCAAGAGCGAGAAGTCGACTGGAGAGAGGAGTTATGCAAGAGGCACATCGCATTCCCAAGGTGAAAAGTCCCGAAGGCTCAGAAGTACGCAGAGGAATTGCTTCCTTCCAGGTTGGCCTTATATGTTGCCATTTGAATATAAGTATAGAGACTTCCCGCCCTTCTAGCACGCCTTTGTCTCTCATCATCAAAGCCTCAACGATCAACACAACACAACAATAACACATTCTTATCAAGTCCTGATTCGAATACCATCACCTTTTAATAATCAAAATGAAGTCTGCCATTCTTGCCATTATTGTCACCCTCGCGGCTTCCGTCGCCGCCTCACCCGTCTCTGAGCGCGCCATTGGCAGCATCACCGTGAAGCGCTCTACCCTCATGAACACGGCCTCCAAGCGCGACAAGGCTGCTGATAAGGTCACCGAAGAGAACATTTCGGACAGCGTCAACTACATCCTGAAGTTGTTCATTGACGGAGACAAGCACCCCGACGCCTACCAGGATGAGATCGACGCTGCTGATCCCAAGCAGGTCCTCGGATAGGGGATTCCATGAGAATCAAAACCACAGTCTCTGCGGTAAGTTTCTGAACATATTTGTTCAAGTTTCATAGCACCGCTTGGTACCTCTTACTAATGTATTCACTGTATCACTAGGCGAGATGTCTTATTTTCAGGTAGAATCCTCACCGCAGACCAGAATGACTGCGTTGGACACTGGCGGCTCTGAGCGGCGGACCCGCGATATGGGTGTACTATACTCTACCCATTGTAAATGGTGGCAATCTCATGTTTGTTAGTCACGTAGTCCTAGTGTAGGGATTAACCTAACCAAATGAATGAGACCAACGGATTACACCGCACAGAGCTATGTACAATACGCCTTGGTCGAATGATGTTGAACATGCTAACTCGTTAACTACCAAGTTAAGTCGTTGACATCTTGTAATGCTTATCTCTTTACATTTGTATTATGCATTATCGTAGAATTGTGAGGTCTAGCCACCTACAGCCTGTACCAGGCGTGTTGTTAGGGATCATGCCTGCAGCCTGCAGCAGTTCGTCTTGTAGTTGCCAATAAGGAAGACGAACCGTTCTGTTAAAGTCACGGACCAAGGACAGCCATTTGTGTGGGCCGTGCTCTTCAGTCTAGCGTTATCTGCAATGTCAGTAATACATAATAGCATTCTGAGATATCGCATCTGGAAAGATGGCTCTGTGAGCCAGATTGCTTGGGGGTAAATGCCTCTTACTTAGGAATAGTTATCCGCGTTGTGGGGATGAGGCCATCATAACCGCAGTGTTTGTATGAGATACCTTACATGAAAGAGTTGTTATGTTCTAAAGAAAAGATCATCAGGGTCGAAGAAAAAAACAATTTAGTATCTAAGCATGATTTTATCCGCCTCGTAGCGCCGGAAGCCTCACCAAGAGCAACAGTCCCAGTGCAGCAACGCAAAAGCAAGCGCAACCTAGATATGGCAGTCCGATCCAGAAGCCGCCAAGTTCCATGCCCAAACTGAAGAGACCAGCAAGCACAGGCTGTGCAAATATCATCCCGGCCGTCTCGACCAGCGACATAATTGAATAGAGCTGCGTCCTGTGCGCGCTGTCCATGTACAACGCACAAAGACTGCGCGCATAGCTGCCCCAACCTGAAGCAAGTGACAAGAGCGCGAGCCCGCCGGTAAAGGCGCTCAAAGTCGGCGAAACAGCCATACATAGGCTGCCAAGTAAGAACATGGCGCAAGATGCCCGGGCGAGAAAGAGATCGCGCTTGTTGCTGTCAGTAAAGCGCATGATCTTTGGTGCCCGAGGTGAGACGAGAAACTTTGAAAAGTTTGGTAAGACGGCGGTGATGACAATGAAGACACTGAAGCCGTAAAAGAACGAGAGAAACCCCGTTTGAGACGTTGGAATCTGGTAGCGCCTAGAGGCGAAGATGATCATAAACTGGAAGATAGACAGCGTAATGGGGAATAAGGCAAGCATTGCCAATATGAGGATGACCAGAGACGGCATCATAAAAAGGCTTGAGACTTTTCTTAAGTGCTGAGATAGGCGCTGAAAAACGTTGCTGGTAGGCCAATCCGTAAAGATATCTCTCGGAGGCCGGGCTGCCGGTCGTGTCTCCGGAATGAGGCGGATGGCGTAGCCAACGGTAGCGAAACCAAACAGCGACAACCACATGACTGGCCACGGCCCGGTCTTGTCCATCATCCACCCGGCGATCAAAGGGGAGCCGAGGTTTCCAATCATGGATGACAGATGGGCGATCATAAACTTTTTAGCTCTGTGAGCATGGTGAGCAGCTGCCATCACAAAACGGGGCATATTATACCAACCTATTTTCAGGGGTAGTGATATCGGTGAGCATTGAGAATATCACAGCAGACACAACAGGATTGCCTCCGCCGATAACCAGTAACGACGATCCAACCCACATCGCATTGAGTGGAATTGCCGGGGTAAACGCGCAAACCGCAAGGAACCATAGCTGATCGAGCATCGTACCTAGCACAGCTAACCGGAAAACTATCTTCCTCCCTACTCGGTCTGCAACAATGCCCCAGGGCAATGCAGCCACAGCGGCTATGGCGGCCTGGAGAGAGCCGTAGATGGCGAATACCATTGCGACCTTGCTTTGAATGGAATCCTCCTTGCACTGGTTCTCGCCGATAGGCTTCAGCACGCCGTAGTGCTGCCGGCATACGATATCCTCGACTTGGCGGGTGGCGGGAATAGTCCACAACCCGGCTGAGCTAGCGAAGAGGAGGATGACGGCGTACAAGACGGTATCAGCGCTATCAACTCTATGATTTTTGGGCTCATGGACGGTGGCAGTGATATTGGTGGGTATGGCGACATCACTGCGATGAGCTGCGGCTTTCTGAGGCTGGACCAGTGGTTGGAAGTCATCGGAGAGTAATGGACTTGATTCTGAGATTGTGTATGAGTTTTCCGATACTAGACACGGCTTTGTGTCATCGTCGCTAGCTGAAGGGCTTGCGTGAGGAGACATCTGTGTGCGTGCAGTGTGCTGCATTGTCGTTTAATTCGCCGTGGTGTAATTGCGTACTTTGGTCCAAAGAATATGGAAACGCACCCGGGACAGAAACAGAATTTGACAGAAAAAGAATTTGACGTGTGCAAGACTGTGCGGATTTCTAGAATACATGACTCAAACGATATCTTTGAGGGGTAAATGGGAAAGCCGGCCGGTACTTTTTGGTCATAGCTTGGTTCCGACAAAAAGAATTACTTTTCTATGGCAGGACCCAAGAGACACAACGGCCCAATTTGTCCGACTCCCTGGTAAGTAACCTGAGCTTATTCGTACACTGCATACGAATGGAATATTTATATAGAGTAGTTAGGAAGGAATCGGGGACAACAAAAGAGCTTATATGCCTGACTGGATAATGCCCGAAAATTCCCAGACGTATTATTGGGAGATGGTCGTAGACGGTCAGGTTCGTTACTTACAAGCGCCATCCCATCATCCTTGAAGGAGCCTTTCTGGATGCCGCTTCGGCACCCGAACAAAGTTCTGGCGATCTCTCGCCGGCTCTTGAGGCTTCACATTATCTTGATCGGGGTAAAATCCACGCAAACTGCCTCTTGCCTAGCTTTTCAACCCTTCCTATCCAGAGAATCTACTGTTCTTGTATGGCTGTCTACGTGTCGAACGTCCCGAGTTACTTCCAGTACCATGGCGAAACACATCTGGGGGCTTCTTCTGGAGGCACTTTTTGTAGTAGCGGTGGTGTTCGCGGCAGAAGAACAGAAGAAAACGTACATCGTTCATATGGAGCAGGCAGAGAGTGTGAGTGGCGCGCGTCTGAGGTCCTTGCAACAAGCCTCTCTCGACGCAATTGATGCGGATCCTGCCTCTGTCCTATACACCTACTCCAGTGCAATGAATGGATACGCTGCTCAGCTTACCGAAGCACAAGCCGAAGCGTTGCGCGCCTACGGAGGTGTGTTGTCGGTGAGGCCTGAAAGGATGTTTCAACTTCACACCACCAGGACCCCTCAGTTTCTCGGCTTCGCCAGCAACGAAGACCTATACGGGCAGTCCTCTTTAAGCCATAGCGCCTATCTTGAGGAGATAAATGAAACAGACTTCAAAGAAGCCGAGTCGAATATTATCATCGGCCTGCTTGACACCGGAGCTTGGCCCGAGAACCCAGGTTACAGCGACGAGGGGATGGGCCCCATTCCGGAGAAATGGAGGGGACAGTGTGAGGAGGGGGAACAGTGGACGGTTAAAAACTGTAATAAGAAGCTGATCGGAGCGCGATTCTATTATAAGGGATACACTGCCGCGAGGTCAAATGCGACTAACCTATTCAACTGGACTGGAGAGTATAAATCCCCTAGGGATAACATCGGCCACGGCACGCATACTTCCACGACCGCGGCCGGTTCCGAGGTTCGAAATGCAGGCTATAATAGCCTAGCAAAGGGCACCGCCCGCGGTATCGCTAAATACGCACGTATAGCTATGTATAAGGTCTGCTGGAAGGAAGACTGCGCAGAGTCCGACATCGCCGCTGCCATAGACCAAGCCATCATGGACGGCGTCAACGTCTTATCGTTATCACAGGGCCCTAACGAAACCGCATTTCACAATCACGATGCGATTGTCGTGGGAAGCTACGCCGCTATGGAAAAGGGCATCTTCGTCTCCTTATCCGCCGGCAACGACGGGCCCGAACCCGGCACTGTGAACAATATTCCACCGTGGGCGATGACTGTCGCCGCCAGCACGCTGGATCGCGACTTTCCTGCCGAACTCAAGCTGGGAAGCAACAAAATTGTAACTGGCGCCAGTTTGTACAGAGATAGTGCTGCAGGGGGAAAGCACCAATCAGCAGCAGATTCTGGGATGCTCCGTCTCGTTCTCGGCGCGGACGTCAGCAAGGGGAACGCTTCTACCGCATCTTTCTGCCTGAAAGACAGCCTTGACCCGAAGAAAGTGGCCGGAAAGGCTGTGATCTGTCGCCTGGGAAGGGGTTCTCTGAGAGCAAAGGGACAGGTTGTCAAGGAAGCCGGCGGCCGTGGGATTGTCATTGTCAGCCCGGCTCTGCTGGGTGATGAGGCGTACGCATCCTATTACGTCCTTCCAGGGATACACTTGAGCTACAAGCAAAGCATTGAAGTGGAGGCTTATGCAAAAACGCCGAATGCCACAGTTACCTTTCAGTTTCGTGACGGCAGAGTCGGTATACCGGCACCGATCATCGCCGGCTTCAGCGGTAGAGGCCCAAACATGGCGGCGCCTAACCTGCTCAAGCCTGACATCACCGGTCCAGGTGTAGACATTCTAGCCGGCTGGACAAACGACAACTCAAGCACTAATAAGGGTGATTTCGCCATCATCTCTGGAACTTCCATGTCCGCCCCTCATCTGGCTGGCATCGCGGCATCTATCATGGCACGACGTCCAAAGTGGAGCGCTGCCGAGGTCCGCTCTGCCATCATGACTACCGCATATACCACACTCAAAGGCACCTCATCGCCTATGTTAGAAAAGCCGAATGACACTATTACGAACCCTCTCAGTTATGGAAACGGCCACGTGGACCCGATAGCTGCCTTGGACCCGGGTATGGTCTACGATATTTCCCCGTACGAGTACCGCGACTCTCTTTGCGCTTTCAATACTACGGTGGAGTTCACGAGAGGAATCACACGGAGCAACTTTACCTGCGCTCCTGGGGTGAAGCGTAGCGTCTACGACCTCAACTATCCTTCCTTCGCCGCGTTCTACAACGTCTCAACGACGAACGGAACGCACACGGCCATGTTCTCGCGCACTGTCAAGAACGTGGGCGGTGCCGGAACTTACAACGTTCGCGTCTTGGTAGATAAACCGGACATGGTCACGGTCAGCGTGAAGCCCGCTGCGCTTGTGTTCACATCTGAAGGGGAAAAGCAGACTTATGTAGTAGCAGCGAAGATGCAACCGTCTCGTATCGCTAATGCCACGGCCTTTGGCAGACTGGAATGGTCGGATGGGAAGCACGTAGTGGGCAGTTCGATGGCTTTCGTATGGGGTTTTTCGCGTTGAATTGGCATACAACTTCTTCAGCCTCTCAAAGTCATTAATGGACGTAGGAATCATGGAGTTTGTAAAATTCAAGTGTAGAGAAACATGGGTAACTAAACGAGTTGGAAATTAGTTACTTGTGCTTGCCAGAACAGCTTAAAAGTTTTTGACTACACGTGTCACAATAGCCACTCGCGCAGCTGGGTCTCGGTGTTGCGATGACTTTTAGTCATTGATGGATTGTTCACGCTGGAGAAGGTCCAGGACCCTGAATAACGCTTGCTGTTCCCGGCCACAAAGGTCATTGCGGGAGGGCCCGAGAAGAAAAGAGACAAACAATGTTCTTGTTACTGGTGATGTTTCTTCACTTCGGCAAAATCCCGATTCAAATTGTTCATGTACAGGAGCAGAATGAATACCGTGAAAACCCCCGTTTTTCCTAAACTAAAGCATTATCTCAAGGACAGAGAGGGGAAAGACCAAGCCACCTTGATGAAGCGAGGCCTAACCCCTCAAGGGTATCTATCTACTGGAAATTTTATCGCAAAACCTATCATGGCCCTATTCTTATCACAGCCAGATCATTAGCGGCTTCAGTGTCTAGAATAGGTCAGTCTAGGCATGCACCTTGAAGTAGGAAGCGCACCTCTCCCCCTTAATTTTACAAGGTATAAATATAACGTCATTTCCTGGAAAGCTCCTATTCCAGTCTAATCACAAAGCTTCTTTATCTCTTGTAAAGCTACTGAAGTAGCAGCCAGTCCTCAGTCCTCGGGATTAGCAAACACCGCGCCACCTTATTCCTATTTATGACATAAATCTATAGGACGAACGAGATGTATGGTATCGTCTCCCTTCCTTCACTACTTATTTGAACTATAATATCGCTGTGTTTCATATGAGCAATCCAAGTCTTGGTTTCTATCTATGTCCTTGACCTAGTGACAAAGCTCCTCAACGCATCTACCGCCTCCTCCCTGCTCTTTTTGCCTACTAGACTGCTGGTGATATTGTCTTGCTCCGACTCTGGGGCCATGCCCTCATTTCTCGGCGGGTTGTTGTCAAGATTTGTTGGGAAAGGATATCCGTTGCCGACGGCAGCTATGAAAGACTTGACCTCCTCACTCATCCCTTGCTCGTCGTACAACTTCACCAAGTGATCCCAACTCTTCTCCACCAACGGAACTGCATCGACAAACTCCATCGGCTTGCCAAAAGCACTGCTGATCTGCAACAAGTTCGCCATCCGGTAAACATCGACCGACTGGTTCTCCCCCGCCGCATGGAACAGCGCAGGGTTGAAAAACAGCCCGTCGCCCACCTCCAACGGCAACGCCACGTAATTCTTCAAGAAGAACTCGTTGAACTCGGGCCGTCGGTACGCCACATACCCAGGCTCGAATGTCTGGCTAAAGGGCAGCAGCCTCGTCGGCCCGCTCTCGATGGGGACCTCAGAGTGCGCCACAGCACCCTGCAGCGTCAAGAGCTGGCTGGCAACCTGCATCGCGCGGGGGAACTGCGCCGACGCCGCGGCGGTCTGGAAGCCGACGTGGTAGTCGCGGTGGCAGACCTGCGGCGCGGCGCCGGGCTTCGTGTTGTTCACCTGCGCGGTGATGCGGTACCCGGGCCCCAGCCACGCGCTGGAGATGAGGCCGAGGTAGGGGTTCGCGTAGTATTTCACGAACGACGCCGGGTCCGCGAGGCCGTGCTTGCTGAAGGAGTTCCAGATGCGGTCGTTCTTGCCGGCGCTGGCGAAGTGGTCGCCCTTTGCGACGCCTGATTTCTTCTCCTCCTCGATTATGGACGCGAAGGCGGCGTTGGCCGCTTCGATTAGGGACCTGTCGCGGTAGAGGCCTTTGGTGACGAAGACGCCGGGGCCGGAGATGAGGACGCGGTACCACTCGTCCTGGAGGGCCGCGCGCTGGTCTGCGTCGAGGCTGGCGTACGGCGGGAGGTCGTAGATGGGGATGTTCTTCTCGATCGAGGCGGCTAAGGGGTAGTCTTCCGGTGTTGCTGACTGGGAGCAGAGGGATGCGAATGAATCTATTGCGGAGGCTTCAGAAGTCGAGAAGAGACGTGCGGATGACGTGCTGGAGGGCCGAGCCCCGTTCGTCTGGCCGTTACGGATGGTCATGTTTCCTTTCGTGTGAGATGTCGTGACAATGAGAGTGGTGTGTAGAGGACTCTGTTGATGCTTTGAAGAAGTCAATTGTCGTAGTTGTGGAGGGGAAGCGCGGGGTATTTAAGACCGTGACCTGGTGGGTTTTCTCTCCACAGTGTTTTGGCTTGGTTCGTTCAAAGACGTTTGGTACGTCATGCGTCGTTCACTGCTGTATAACGCGTTCCTTTCTCTGAGAAGTTCTGGAAAGGGAATTATTCAACGATTCTTGGGAAACGCCCGGCTGCTTCTCCATCGGCCAGAATTACCCGTTTCAGGTCCGGATGGGGCCGGTTCTCGGCGGGCCCACCCCCGGATCGCTCCGCGAGTGTACTCTGCCAGCACCGGCGGCTGAGCCGAACAAGCCACCTTAATCTATACGTTTAAACGCGGCGATTCTTGTAGCTTTTGGTCCAGATTGTTTGGAAATATCTTCATGCGTAGTTAAATCCCCAGGTCTCGTGAAGTGGAGATCTCGGGATATGGTTTCCGATCACCCTATGAGATCTCGCTGTGCCCTCAGATCTAACGTTTCATCGGACCGTAGTTCCGGGAGGCTCATCGGGCGGCCCCATATGCTAGACTCATTAGTTTATGACGGCGTCGGCGGGGAGAACTGGCCGATGCCATCCGATCACGGGGCGTGCCAAAGGATGATGGTCTGTCGTCATTCAAGATCATTTCCCCGAGAAGGAAGAAGGCTGTTCGTCTACCCCTCAAACAACAAGGCTTGGAATATTCTCTTCCTGTTCAGTATACAGCTTGCGAAGCGCACTGATCATGTTCGGAACTGGCCGAGCGGCCAAGGAGTAACCTTGCCACGTCTAGGTTGATTCTCTAGCAAAAGCATAAAGCTTACATCGAGAGGACCTACTCAGTAGGTTATGACCTATCTATGGCAATACTAGCTCTTCTAGTAACCCATAAAACTGAGCTTGTTACATGCCTTGCAAGCAGTCAAGGTTATTATGTATCCAAACTCGGTGTTAACGGCGAATGGTCTTCGAATCGTTACGAGCCATGATCGGGGTTCGGCGCCTACCAGCGCCGCGAAACACGCCGGATTGGTTGCAGGCTGCTAAATTGCTATGATCTCTATTGATTCATATTCCATCATCACCGAAGTTGGTCGCTACGAGACTTTACAGCGGTATGTCGCTGCCTTTTGTTACTGTATTTGTCTCGAAAAGCGAGTTCGTCAACGTAGGACTCAATCGCAATTCGGACTCCGCAACGTGGTTCGGACTCTTTACGAGTGCGGGGAGGCTTCCCGCTGTAGAAGTGTCTCTACTTTACGACTCAGCAAATAGGACGGGTTTTACGCTTCATGTTCTGTAAACTCTGAACCTCTAGAGAGTTCTGCACGGCCCGATGTCCTTCGACATTCGGTACTGTTCGGCCGACTCGCGATGCCTCGGTATGACTACAGGTTCGTACGGATAAGCTTATTTTGGTTACGCGGGGAGTTACACGACAGACATTGTGTGAATAAATACGACCGCTTGGCGGCTTGGGATATTTATCATCATCCATCTCTTTACTTGAGGCTCAACCAATGTTGGCTGTGGTCCGAGGTATGAGTTCCGAGACCGAGGGCCTTCTTGACAGTCCCTTTCTAGGATCCCACCACCAGAAACAGCAGAAGAAAGCGAAACCGAGTCAACATTCGAGTCAAATTCCACTTGCTATGCACCATTTGGTCGGATGAACCAAAATACCGACTCATCGACCGGCGTGGTGGTTTTGGGGAGCACGACTACGGCTGGCCTTCGACCATTAGAAACTGCTACCAAAGCCTTAGCACCCTATCATAGCGGTGTAGTTTGCCGTAGCGTCCAGCAGGTTCCCTGCAGGCAGCAGGCCCGGCGTCCACGCGCCCCGCGATTCGAGGCTTAATTCCACCTAAGCCACCCCCGACATAGGGTACCCTCCGGAGTGCTTATTAGCTTACCTAGATACACGTTGCGTCGCGACGAGGTGCGTGAGTGGGGCCTCCGGACCGGCCAAGAAGCTGCCACCGACCCGCACCACATCGTGCGCACGCATGAGACCCTGCCTTCCTTAATTAGCCAAATTCAACCTCCACTCCTTCAACCACGACCAAGGCTGATCCGGGGCCAAGGGGGCAGCATGCCTCAACCATCGAAGCCCGAGTCCAAGAGGAGACATGTCACGACTGCATGCATCTCCTGCAGGGAGAGCAAGATCAAGGTTACCTCATCTCTGCGGCATCTGCCGAATTTCACAGGCTAACGATCCACAGTGTGACGGTGCCACGCCAACATGTTCCAACTGCAAGAACAAACGTAGGGACTGTAGATACCAAGCTGGGGAGGACAAACGCAAGTGAGTTTTGTATTGATTATGAGAGTCGTCGGAAGTTGACCTTACCGGGAATAGGCTTTCATTGCGCGTTGCTGTAGAGTTGCTTTCCAGCAGGGTCGATCAGCTTTGTCATTTCATCAGTCAAAATGGGCTCCAGCCGCCCGCGATGTCTTCAGAGGAGGGCAAGAGCCTCAACAGGATCCTGGAAACTCTGGGTCTCTCCAACGTCCAAGTCACGCTGGAGAAACCCACGCCGCCATCCATGAACTCAGCACTACCGATCGACCCGGCACTGTCACTTGGTCAGTATCCGCTTGCACCGGCTCTCCCTGTTGTGCACCCCATGGCGCCACCAGGCCAGCTGCCCCCCGACTTTGGCCTGTCCTTCGACGCAGCCGCTTCTGGTTTCGACGCCGTCCGTCACGGTCACACGCCAGCGACATGGGCTCAACCGAGGGATGCTGCGTCAAAGGTCATTGCGGACTGGGACTGGAGCCCCCCAGAGAACGGAGACATCATCGCTCCCGGCGTCGACGTCGCAAGCGTGCGCGCACCCAGTCATCCTCTGCTCAGCTCTTACTCGGGAGAGGGCGGCGGTGCGCTGAGCGACAACGAGAATGACGACAGCGCATCGGGGACGACGGAGGAAGACCTCGTCAACCAACTATCAGATCGGCTGGGGTCCCTGCATATCGGGCCCAACGGGCAGATTTCCTACTACGGGCCGACATCAAACTTCAGTCTTGTTGAGATGCCCGCGGGAAGCGACACGTTGGCAGTTGATCGAACTGTGCGGAACGACGGGCAGGAGCATCTGGACATGATGGGCTACGGCAAGACGATACCGCCAGATCTGGAAGAGCACTTGATCAACCTCTATTTTGCGTGGCAGGACCCTTTTTCGCATATTGTCGATCGGACTTTGTACGAGGACGCCAAGTACAAGTGGCTGGAACGGGAGGAAGACACACCGTATTATTCTGAGGCTCTCAGAAACGCAATGTTGGTTGCTCCGGTCCCCCAACGGAAAATAGGCATTGCAAGAGCATGTTTCTAACGCGATCCAGGTGTTCTCTCGGCGCTGCCTTCGAGTCCCGGTACCATCCGAACTTTGTCACGTTTCCCAAGTCTCTGCCCGACTTCTTTGCCGCGCGCGCCAAGACTTTGTTGGAGATTGAGCTGGACTCGCCCTCGGTGTCGACCGTTCAAGCGATGGTCGTCCTCAGCAGCCACGAAATCGGAGCAAATAGAGACTCCAGGGGCTGGTTGTACAGCGGTACTGTATCATTGCGCCGTTTCTTGAGGGAAGCTGAGGACATCCGCGCTAACAGAACATCCCTAAAGGAATGGCCATCCGCCTCGCCTTCGACTTGGCTCTTCACAAGGACATGACTCCCTACGTTACAAAGGGCATCCTGACGCCCGCGGAAGCGGACCTGCGTCGGAATGTCTTTTGGGGGACGTATGTTGTGGATCAGTAAGTGAAGCACGCGCAGACTTTCTTGTTCTCGAGTCCTAATGTAGTCTCCTGAAAGAACTCTAGGTTACTATCGAGGCCGGCCGTTCCGCGTCAGCCTCGACGACATAACAGTGCAAAAGCCGGTCGCTGGCGCTTCGGGGGCTGCAGCTTGGCTGCCTTATACGTCGCCGCGCAGCAATGGCTCTCCTCCAGCAGCGCTGACTTATCACATCGAGGATGTCAGCCTTCAGAGAATTGAGCTGTGCGAGATCATGGCTCCTTTAGGGCATACGTTGTAAGTGTGGTTTACTTTCAAGACTCCAAGCTACCCCCCGCATGCGAATAAGACGACTAACGATGCTCTATAAGATACGGCAACTCCAAGATTCCAAGAAACGTTCTCCAAGAAAAGAACGAGCAGATTGTCTCCCTGCTCTTCGTCTGGAAAGAGAACCTCCCCGAAGCTCTCCAAGTCGACCTCGAGGATACCGAAGGAACATACCTGCCACACGTCCTTCTCCTCCAGTCAGTAGCCCCCTTTCCCCCCATATTCCAAATCTCGCCACAGCTTAGACACCATCTAACCTTCACACAAACAGCATGCAATACTACCAGAACGTAATCCACGCCCACCGCCCCTGGATGTCCTCCTCCTACCTCCAGCCGCAGCCGCCGCAGGGCCCGGGCTACATGCACGCGCAGCGCATGTGCATCGAGTCCGCCGCCGCCGTCGCCAAGCTCATCCTGCTCTACGAGCGCCGCTATTCGCTGCGCCGCGTCAACATCCAGGGCGTCGCCGTCATCTTCTCCGCCGCCATCATCCTCATCTTCGCGTCCATGTCGCGCCGTCGCCGCCGCCGCCGCGCCAAGACCGCCGAGACCGCCACGCACCTGAGCGTCTGCTTCCGCGCGCTCGAGGAGCTGTCCGCCTCGTGGGAGTGCGCCAAGCGCTCGCGCGACTTTCTGCTCATGCTGCAGCGCAAGTGGGAGCTGAAGTCGCGACGGCTGAGCGGGGCGGCGGCGGCGGCGGCGAGACGGCCGGGGATGGGACCGACGTCGGGTGGTGGAGGGTTGGTGAGGGCGGCCTCCGCGGGGAACCAGTCGAGGAAGAGGGCGAGGACGGATAGCCCTGCGGGGTCGAGAAGCGTGGGCAGCTTTCAGAGCATATCGCCGTCGCAGCAGCCGGGAGATCCGGGTGTGGTGGATGAGAGGGGGGAGGTCGACCACGAGGGGATTGATATGGATATGCGGCTTGACCTCGACTGGGTCTTTGCCGCGGGAGGACAGGCCATGCCCGGAAGTTGGGACGGTTTGCTGCCTCCTGACGCGTTGTACTTCAACCACGATGCCCCGGAGTAGTAGGCCAGTCATTCTACATAATGACATCAAAAACACACCAGCGGAAGACGACTGTGACAAGACATGATGTGTCGAACGCCGGCCATGCTAACCTTGAATTACTTTTGATATGGTATCGCTACTAGAAGTACAGGAATTGCTTCTCCAGTCTTGAACAATCTCCCCCTTTCCCCTCAACCCCTATCTCCCTCACGCCGCCTCCTGCATATACGGCCACGAACCCCTCCACGACAACATCGTCATCAACGCCTGCGGACTACTCCTCCCAAACTGCGCCCTAGCCATCGCCAGGCTCTCGCCGTACTTACTCGCCCTCTCTACCGTGTAATTCAGCTGCCCCATCTCGCCGTACTGCCACACCCGCATCGTCGTCGGCGTCCGCCCCTCCGCGCGCTCCACGGCCACAATATTGTCGTCCGCTCGCTCCAGCGTCAGCCGCGCCTGCTCAAACTCCTGCGCCGTGAGCTGCAAGCCCGCCAGCGCGAACAGGCACTTGCACGCCTCCCGCAGCCGCCCCTGCGCCATGTACGCCGCCGACGTGCTTGCGTACAGCGCCGTCATCTCCGCGAAGTCGCTGCCGCCCGTCTCCCCCAGCCGCGCGAGCAGCTGGCCCTGCAGCCCGTGGATGTAGTGGATCGTGATGTTCAGCAGGCCGAGCCGCTTCTCCAGGTCCTTGGCGCCGTACTTTACTAGGGAGTGTAGAATGCGCACGCGCTCTCTGCGGTCGACCCGCCGGATGCGCGCCCAGATCAGGGTCAGCGGGTGCCGCGGGCCGTGGACCTGCTCGTGCAGGGTGCAGATGTGCGGGAGCAGCCACTCGGAGATGTCGCGCGGCTGGCTGAGCACGGAGTAGCACAGGAAGAAGGCCAGCTCCGGGTCCTGGTCCTTGATGATCCAGCGGAGGACGTCGAGCTGCGCACATAAGGCCGCGTGGGCGCCGCGGAAGTCGCCGCGGCGGCCGACGATGTGGCGGTGCGTGTCGCTCATGAAGTCGCCCCAGCGGTTGGGGCGGTCGCGGGACGGCACGCGCTGGCCGGCGGCGCAGAGCGTGTCGTCGACCATGGTCCACATGCGGCCCTGGAACGCGCCGTCGAAGAAGCCCTTCATGAGGCGCAGGATCTCGTCCGGGATGCGCAGGTCGGCGGCCGGGTCGATGACGCGCGGCATCGGCGGGGGCGAGGGCGTGCGGCAGCGGATGTCGTAGCGGGCGACGGCCTCGTAGTCTTGCTCGTCCACCGCGCCGGCGCCGGCAACTAGGCCGGGCTCGCCCTTGAGCAGCCGCACGAGCTCGCGCTGCGCGTCCTGGTCCTGGTCCGGGGAGGCGTAGCGCGGGTCGCGCTGCAGGTCGGGGCGGCGCTTGAGGTAGTGGGCGATGCGCTCCCACTCGACCTCCTGGTTGCGGACGGTGAAGCGGGTCTTTTTGCCGGCGGCGTCGCGCTTGTTCTTGACCTGGAGCATGGCCAGGACCTCGGCTTCTTTGAACTTCTTGTCGAGGCCCCAGCGCTTGATACGGGTCTTGAACATCCTCTCCCTAGAGCGCGGGTAACGTTCGTGTCAGTCCCCATTTTTTTTCATTACTTCACACCCCGAATCTCTTCCTGGGCCTTGTCGAAAGACGGGATGGAGAGAATGTTTAACATGGTGTGTGGAATTTTGGGTAATTCTTCTTTGGAAGGGGTTTTAAGAGGAGCAAGGGTGGGAAAGAGTGTGAACTAGCTTTGGACGGATGTATGGATGGGTTGGGCAAGGTGGGTTTCTTACGTTGCATGGAAGTAGTAAGTCTCCTCCATTATCTGCTTGACCTCCTTCAACGTCTTGTTCTCGTCCCGGTACAGCCTTGTGATGATCCCCCTGTGGCACGTCCAATGGTCCTCTGTGGCGTACACCTTGCTCTTGGTAACTATTGGCAGCGCCACAGGGGCGGAGACGGGGACGTCAACAGGCGAGACAGGAACAGACAGAGCAGCAGCAGCAGCAGGAACAACAGCAGCAGCGGCACCCTCGAGGCACGGGGAGAGCTGCTGCTGCTGCTGCTGCTGCGGAGACTCCATGGTGGTTGGTGGTGGTGGTGGTGGTCGGGCGCAGCGGCGGCGGGCTGGGCTTGCGGTTGGCGTGGAGTTCCAAGGTTTTTCCAAGGTCCAGATCCAGTCCAATCCAGTCTGACTATTCCGTCTCCTCTTCGCCCGATCGAGTAGTCGTCGGTCAGCAAATAGGTGGTCCTTTTCCCGCGCGAGGCTCGAGGCTGCGGGACAAGCAGATTTGGGGACAGCCCAAGCCACCCCCGTTCAGCCAAATAAACCGCACAACAACCCAGACGAGGACGAAAAAAAGAGGGGAATCCCCCAGGCTGGGGGGGACGGGAGGAGGAGCAGAGAGCTGAAGTCCGAGGGGAGGGAGATATGGAGAGATTGGGGGCTCCGCCGTCAGCAAGATCGGGCGAAGGCGCCTTTCCTGGGATTTCCTGGTTCAGTAATAAGTTCGGTGTAAGAGCGAGGAAGCTTCAGCTTGGGGGTTGGTTGGCGAATCCTTCCTCCGTTCTGCTGGTCCCAAAAACTGTGAAGGACGGAAGAGTGAATATGATAGGTGTAGAGCAATTCCCCTTTCCAGGAGTTGCGCCCGAATCCTTCTTTTTGGGGGCCGGGAACTGCAGACCGAGCGAGATAATTGTGGGAAAGGTGCGGCGCACGCACAGAAACAGAGCAAGTTCGGTCTTATGTTGGAAGGGCGTCCTTGGAAGCCTGAAGGAGGCGGGAGAAGGCGAAGGGGAGAGGATGTGAGGACCAAGAGCACGCAACGAGGGGGGGATGACGGAGGCCGGCGGGCGGTGGTATGTGACGTTGGGCCCCCCCCGACTCGAGCAGCATCCGTGATTGGCCCAGGTCAAAAGGACTTCGCAGCTTTAGCGAGATTTCCCGTGCAGGGTCGGCTTTTGGTGGGCATCGGCGGGAGCTGCGCGGATGCGGCGCGTGCCGGAGGAGTTGATTGGTCGTGTCTGGCGTGAAAGGAACATTAAGCAAAAAGGGCGATGAGGCTTGTGTTGTTTTCGGGATTTGGAGGTGGTTTGATGATGATGATGGGATCAGAATGGGCTTGAGCGAGGTAGATGCGGGTCAGTCCAGTCTTCTTAGTCTATTTGGCGGAGGGGCGGAGTGGCGTATGCAACCTTGATTCAACAACTTCAAGAGCCTCGATGGGTGAGTGGTGGTGATGGTGGGTGGTACGAGGGGTAACCTGATTGCTGTTCCGTGATGTTTGCTCTCCGGTGTTCGTCTCGAATGGCAGTGAAATGTCGAACCGGCGATCCGGCCTCGAAACGGGGGTGGTCGAGAACAAAGGACGGGAACTCAAAAGGCCCCCGCGTCTTGACAGCACAGCACACAGCACGACATCCACATACCTCTCCTCCACTGCTCACCACACCTCGGCAGAATAACTCCTTAAATGCACCCAGACAAGCCCATCCTCTTCCCCTTCTGCAATTATTCAGCCTTCATTCGGCTGCAATTACAATATCTCTGCTCCCCCTTTCCCCTCAATTGACGGAGATGCTGACCACGCAGCAACCTTCCCTGGTCCCTCTCCCGGCCCATCCTATCAAGCAAGCATGGAACGCGGCAGGCTGGATGAACACCTCGAGTGACACGCAAAAGAGTGCCGATGGGCATGGGTGATTTGGAATGAAATCGCACATCATGTCTGATTTGTTTTCTTGTAGCCCCCTCCCCGAGCGTTCCCGGCCCATGATCAGGCCACGCAGCGGTGTACTCACGAAACACCAAATCCCGAATGTCACCGCGACGCAAGAGAGACTGTTGCACTGGATTTCGCTACGGATACATCTGCCGAGCTGCAACTACCGATCCCCACCCGCATGTTGTAGGTTTTTACTCACTCACTCACTCACTCACTACCACCCAGCCAGCCAAATCCATCCATCTACCAATCCGTATACCACCGATCAAACAAATCAGCAGGCGGCGGTCCGGACGCATACCCGTTGATGCTCGGGCCCTCAAACCGCGCCCGGAACATGCTATCGAACTCGTCCCGCGTCATCCCCGCGCCTCCCCGCCGGTCGCGCTCGTTCTGCTCATCGGCTCCCCTGCTGTACCCCGGACCTCCTCCTCCACCGTAACCCCCACCGGCACCGGGGGAGGAGCCCTCGCCGAAGCCAGGCGGCGGCCCGAACATCTCCTCAAAGCTGACCCCCACACCACCACCACCACCACCGGAGCCGTAGCCGTAGCCACCGGCCTCCGGGCCAAAGCGCCCGCCGAACCCCCCACCTCCAAAGACCCCGCTCAGAAACTCCTCAAAACCCATCTCCCGCTCCGCTCCGTATCCGCGCGGCTCATACCCTCTTCCTCCGTAACCCTCCCTCTCATCCATGCCCATCCTGCCGCCACCACCACCACCTCCTCCATCTCCACCGGCTCTCCTCCGGAAAGCCTCCATAAACACCCGTCCCCACTCCTCCTCGCTCCTCCCCCTGCCCCCGGTGTCCATGTACTCAAACGCAGCAGACCGATACGGCGACGCGCCAAACGTCCGCTGCTGCTGCTGCTGCTGCTGCTGCTGCTGGCCGCGTTCACGCTCGCGCTCGCGCCGCTCGCTCTCAAAGTTCTCACGCGCAAAGCGGCCCGTTCCGCGGTAGAAGCCGTCGGGGTACTGGTTGTTCTCCTCGCGGCTGCGGTTGCTGTTGTTGTGATCTTGCCGCTGGTCCCGGTTCTGTCCACCGCCTTGCGCACGCGTGGCGGCGGCGCGGCCCGGCGAGTTGCTGGCCTCGGAGTATCCGTCGAATTCGTAGTGCATTGTGAGAGTCGTGTGTCTGTCTTGCAACAACTGAGGATTCTCGTGGGGATGTGCAGGCTTTCACTTTATGCCACGACTGCTCCTGGGCAAATCCTTCTGCGCAGGATGTGGAGGGTATTTATAAGGTGTTTGCTGGTTATGGTGGCACGGTGACTAATTCCCAAGCAGTTGTGATTTGGCCAGTGATGAAGTGAAAACATGTTGCGGCTACGGTAGCACGCCGCTGGAAACAGGACATTCGCGGTGATTCACTTTGCAACGTACATCACTTCACTACGGCTATAGACTTGATTGTTGGGTATTCGCTAAGGTTTGTTTTTGCAAGCGCAGTGAGTAGCGCCAATTGTCTATGTACAAGCTCCAGGTATGAAGCGGTTCGCCCCAGCCTCATGTCGTAGCTTGTCATCTCCCATGCTGAAGATAACAAGCGCTGTCTGTCCACCTGGTATGCAGGCAGAGGCGGGTATAATAGAAAACATACATTACAGGTATCCAGGATCCAGTAGACGCATGATCGCTCCCATGGACAACGCCGAGCACCAAGCAAGTTAAAAAAGGAAAAAAAAAAAAAATTATGTCGTAGCAGTGTTTGCTTCGTTGCGTAAAGAAACGGGGCCTTGGAACCCGGACGCTGGCTTCACGCTGTGCATCTCCATGCCCTGGGAGTCGCCCTTGGGTTGCTCCCTGTAGGCACCGAGACGCTGGTCGCCAGAGTTGTACCGCTTCTTGAATTGGTAGTAGGTAGGTGGCCGAGGTCGGCAGAGAACAACGATCCAGTTCTTGAGCATGCTGCCTTGGGTGAAGGCCCGGAAGCGCTCCTTCTTGATGAACTTGTGGGAGTTGATATACTCTCTAGTCGTCTCGCCTCGCGCCATCAAGAAGATGTGGTAGCCCATTAGGGCGGCCGGGTACAGGAACGAAATGAAACCGTAGATAACCATCGCAAACGGGACGCGGAAGTCGTTGATGGATTGGCCAAAGGAAATGCCGGAAAGGTTCATGTGGATGAGGATTTGGGCCAGAGAGGCACCCATAAGGTAGAGCGAGAGGAATGTGGCGGATGACACGAAGGCAAAGAAATATCGGTAGTTACGTCGGCCAACGCAGTTATTGAGCCAGACGCAGTGGTGGTCGTGGGTCTCGATGCAGTTGTCGCAGAGACGGCAGTGGTGAGCGCGAGGAGGTCGCCAGATGTTGCACGTTCGGCAGTGCTTGACGGGAACCTCCATGGCTGCTGTGGAGGACTCGGCGGACTTGATGAGAGTCCAGTCGTTTGTCGGAGGGCCTAGTCGGAGGGGGTCTTCGGTGGGTTCCAGAGGAGGGAAAACGTGAAGATTACGAGGAAGAATCTGAGGCATGTCAGCAATTTCACTCACTCTTGGAGGGTCGAACTTACACCAGGGTCAGAAACAGACGCATGGAGGAAGGAGGAGATGCAGATGTAGAAGAGGTATGCAAACGTTATGGGTATGGCAGGGCTAATGTTATGCCATATCCATGGTGCAGAGAAGATGAAGAAGAGCACAGCAGGAATGATGATGAACAGCCCCGTGGCGACGTTCACTGGCCTATGCTTGGTGTTTTGGAAACGACCACCGAGACAGAAGACAGTGTTTCCTTCAAAATATTCAAAGACGTAGCCCAGGTTGGTTTTGGACTTCCTCAAGTTGTTCTTGTCTGCGGGTCTCGAGGAGTCCACCGGGTTCAGTCGCGGGGTCGACGCATTTGAAGAAAGCTTCTCGGCACCCGGCAAGCTTCGGTTGGACTTGTTCTGCTCGCCGTCGCTTCTCCCCGGCAGCAAGAAGCTTGAGCGGAAGGATCGCGGTGACTTGGCGGGGCTCTGATTGCCTCGATCCCTGAACCGTCTGTCCACATTCACGCTGAGGTTTCGGCTATTGCGCTGTTGGCGGTATATCGGGGTGACGCTTTCAGACATGCTGCCTGCTGGGTAATGGCCGTGTGTCGGGCTGGTGTTGGCGGTTATTCTGTCGTAGGTTCCCTGGTCGGTGTATTCAGTTCCTCGAGATGGAGGTGGCCTTCCTTCGCCGTCACCGCTGAGCTGCCTCTGAAGGCGAGCAACGGGGTTCGAAACCGGGTTTGAGATGACGCTGTGTCGAGCATTCGGTCCGCCACTGGCCACAGCAGCCGCGGCCGCAGGACTCGGTTCCGCAGGCTCGGCATCCTCCAGAGTCGGTTGTTGTCGGTTTTGGGTTGAGGGGCGAGATGCGCCGCCGCGCTGGGCCTGCAGTTTCTGGGAACTCATGGGACGAAAAAAGGCCGAAGACGTGAGAGATGGGACATGGCTGCGGCTGGCAGAACTGGGCGGCCGAGTGTTGACAGAGCCGGCAGTACTGCCCCCGCCAATACTCCCCCTCTTCTCGTGCAGACTCGTGATGTAGTTCAGTCGCGGAGGAGGCCCTCGTCGCCAGCCTTCCCTGGATCCAGACATGCCTGTCTTTGCCGTTCCTGGCCGCGACACAGTCTCGGAGGCCATGCCGCTTTTCCTGCGCGGGTTCTCGGAAAGAGTCTGCTGGGTGGCGGCTTCCCCACCGTCGTCGGACGCGATATCGGTCATACGCGAGGAGATGATGCTCGGCGGGCCTGGCCTGTCGGAGCGTCCGGGGAACTGAGGTTTCGGGAAGCCGTCATCGTCGGCGGGAGGTTTGTTGGGGCCGGAGCCCTGGTCTTTGGAGGCCATGATCGGCGCTGCAATCGGTAAACCGCTGTCGGCGCTATTCGGGTATTCGTATCGGTTCTCCACTATAACATGTCGCTCTCTAGGCAGGGATCAATATCGTGAGGTTGGTAAAGGCTCGGATGAAGACCTGTCGAGAAGAGAAATGGTCGGGCGGCAGAGGGCGTCGGGGGTAGAAATCGGCGCTTTGGCGGACGTGACGATTTCGTGCGTGGGCGCGCGATAGGACCGGTAGGCTCGGCGTAATGCAGGGCGGAAGGTTCGAAAAAGGTGGGAGCGCAGAGTGTGCGGTGGGAAAAGGGTATTAAAAAAAGGTCGTGCGAAGAGTAGAAGACGGGGAAAAGGCCCGTGAATTAAGGTAAGGTCGGTATGGTACGGTCGGTAGGTCGAGTAGGTGAATGAGGGAGTGTGTGGGTTTGTAGGTATTCGTGTCGTCGTATCGTTGGGACGTCGGGGCGTCGAAGATGGATCTAAGGTGGTGAGAGAGTGACGGAGTGGGAGAGAAAAGAAAAAGGATTGGCGGATAGGCCGTGACAATGAGCGAAGCAGCGGAAAAGAGACGACCAGAGATGGAGTTTCTTGTCTTGCCTGGAGTTCCTTTTTTCGAGACGGGCCACCAGGACAGGCGAAAAAGCAACCTCCACTGACTAAAGGTTGGCGAGGCCAGGCCAGGCCAGGGAAGGGAAGATGGGTGGGAAAAGCATAAGGCAGAGCCGGGGGGGGCACATCACGACACTGAAGGACGCAGTAAGGGGGGCGATGGATGTGCCTGGGTATATCCGTGCTTTGTGCATGCACAACCACCCAGACGGGACTAGCTGTGCTGCTTCGACAAGTAGCTGCCGCCTGTCATCACTAACAGAACCCTGCGTGTCTGATACGGCAGAAATGATAGCAGCTGCGCTCGGGCCCCCTCTGAAACGGCTATGGCCGCCTGTTTATGCATAGCGGCACGCAGTTGTGCCAGCCAATTTTGATTGCAATTGCCGCATTGGGGGCTCCAGGTTTAAATTGCTACAGCAGCACAGCAGCCAACGGGACGCCGCGCCCGTGACGGCTGCAATGCCGGGGTGACGAGATTTCTGGGACGATGGAACCGTTCAGGCACCATTGCGACCTTCGTCTGTCTGCGCGCGAGCGACGAGCGACCTGAGCGCTGCGACGCCAGACCTGCACCTGAGAATTGAGATTGGGATATCCCGCACGGGCCAGTCTTGTTCTAGCCTCAAAGTCTGTCGATGGCGTTCGTTCGTTCTTTGACATGTTCTTCGCGGTCCTCGGAATGAGGGCTGTCTTGTTTTGGTCGATGTTGACATTGAATCACATGGCCAGAGACGCGTCTTGCCCCTCTTTGGTGAGCCGTTGAGGCTGCTGCAACGTCGTCGAGGGTCCGCCGCGATCTACCCGGAATCCCGGGTTAGACCTCGCTCTTAGGACGCTGCCAATAACCTGTGTCACAGGGAAATGCTTGAACCACTCATTCCAAGAGCACTCACTCGATTTGCTGACAGATACGCGCGGGAAACACTGAGACTCTGCATTGCCGCTTCTGCGACGTCGATGAAATCCATTCATGCCGAAATTGCTCAACGCTAAACCGCCGCGAATTCGTCTGGTTTTCCATATCTTGCATCGCTGTCGAAACATGGGTCATCCCATCAGCGAAACACTTGCATATGCCATCTCCCGGTGCCGACACGAACCGCACGTCTCGACATCTGAACTAGGCTTACAAGCCCCAAGAAGCATAGACAGAAGGTTGCGAACACGGGATGTTCCTGAATGTAACACCGTTAGCCTGTTTCTCTATTGGCTGCCTCAGATCGCATCCATCACGGCAATCTTTCGTCTTAAGGAGTACGGGTGATCGATGAGAGAGCCTATTGGTCGCGCGCAGTTTTTGGACTCTGATCTCACATTCATTGCTGGATTTCACCCATCTTCATCTCGTAGGCGTAACTCCATCTGTCGGTCTGCTTCATAAACTCCTTCGAGAGACGCCGCCACCAAAGACAATACTGGCGAAATGATGATCATGATGACTTCGCCGAGCGACACGGGCTCCACATCGTTGAGAGCCGCAACGGCACAAAGCGTGCTTGCTAAGCCGAAGAGAAACCCAACTACTCGACGTGCGCCAGGTTGCAGTAGGTACGGCTGATGTGCCATTTTGTCGCTGAATCTCCATAATGGAATTTCCAGGCGGTCTATCGTGACTTTTAACAAGAATGATTCCAAAGACTTCAACAGCTTCGGAGGTCAGCATTCAGCTATGTGCACGAATAAGTCCGGGATGGCCAATGGTATGTAGCTTTGCTGACCACGGCCATCAGGACTGCCGGCCAGTTGGTGCTGCTGTGCATTGGCCACGTATTTGAGGGCGTCTCTGGCACTATTTTGATATCAGTGGGCAAGATCGCAAGAATCGAGCCGTGAATTTCGGGTATTCACCGGCTTCGACGCAGGACGGCAATCGAAATCTGCTTAGCAAAGTATCCTGCTTAAACCACCCGACCTCTTTAGTCGCATAGCATGCACCAAAGCCATACAGTATGAGGTAATACTCACCTCACCCACCATTGGCCAATTACCTCACTCCCTTCACCCGGCCAATCGTTTCTCCCGAATTTCAACATTGGAATCCCGTCTCGAAGCTCCGAAATCATACGACAGCCGAACCTCACCTCTCACAACCACACCCAATCCCACCACCAAACGCCCGCGCAACACCGCAACAATGGCCTCCTTCGTCGCCCGCCGCACCTTCTCTACCTCCCTCCGCCGCTTCGCCGACGACCACGCCAAGCAGCAGCTCACCCAGGAGTCCAAGCGCAACCCCGAGCTCTACGTGCGTGATATCTCCCACCCAGCCCCAAAAAGACCCAGTTTCTCCAAATCCCGAAATAAAGCCTTACATCACGATGCCTCCCTCCCCGCGATCACAACCACAACGCCGCCCGCCGAACACGCATAGTTCATTATTTCGACCTGGAGATTGCCGAGACGGACATGACATGGCATTTTGGGTCGATTGGCGTGCGGGGGACGGGGAAACCGACGTAAAATGGAAGCTAATCGAATTTTCTACGACAGATCCTCGGCGCTGTCATGGCTGCCGCGCTCGGCGGTGCTGGTCTCTACTTCGGTAACCTCACCCCAACCCATTTCGCAATTTTCCGCAATCCCGCTGACCTTCGACCGCAGGCCGCACCCCCACCACCTCCACCTCCGAGAGCGCCGTCCTGAAGGCCGGTATGCCCTGGGAGACCGACTCCGAGGGCAAGTACAAGTACCACCCCGGCGGCAACCCCAACAACGAGCCCAAGGACGCTCCCAGCGCCGTCAACACCGTCATCATCCCCGACGTCACTCTCCCCAAGGTGCGTTTTTCCATGCCGGCGAGGAATTCATGAGTCCCGTGAGGAGGATGGTCATTCGTCGTGCGGAGGCAGGCTGGAAGTCCAGCCTCGCGGACGACGGATACTTCAAGATTCGAATCAAGGACACCTCCAGGCTGACTGTTTTTTCCTACAGGAGTTGCACGACAAGTACAACAAGTGGGGCAAGGACGGCTACTAAAGAATTTAATGATACCGGCAGCGTAGACGAAGAAGACACGGGCATTCGCGCAAGCTGTGCAACGGACGGAAGGTGTGGTTTTCATGTGTAGATAGGGCGAATTCAGAATTTTTGCTACAATTTTCTTGTTTACCCTACAGAATGGCTTTACGTTCACTCTCATTTACGCAGTTTCTCTCATCTAAACATGAGTCAAGACTCAAATGACTGTCCTGGAAATCTCCCGCCCTCACTCGAAGAAATTGGTATCAGATTTTCAACAGCATGCAATTAGGTCAGGTGGCATGTATTGATACTCCCACGAACAAGCCTCCAGAGGTGGCTCCAACTCCCCGAAACACCTCACATCACAGCCTACGCCTACGCCAAGTCCTTGACGACTCCCCCATTTTACACCACACCCGCCCGGCCCGCTCTCTCTACGAAGCAAGCTGCTCAATCTCATCACCAGTGAAACCGAACAGATACAGCAGATCCAAAAGGCTCTCGCTGTTCAGCCTTGTATCAGCCTCCATCTGCACCATCGGCTTCGCGTTCCACGCCACGCCGAGCCCCGCCGCGCCCATCATCAGCAGGTCGTTCGCCCCGTCGCCGACCGCCACGACCTGCGACAGATCAATCCCCTCCTTACCCGCAATCTCCACGAGGAGGTCGCGCTTGCGCTCCTTCCCGACAATCAGCCCCTTCACCTCGCCCGTCAACGCGCCCGTCGCCTCGTCCACGACAACCTCGTTCGCGTGCGCGTGGTCGATGCCGAGCTCTCCCGCAAGCCAGGCCGTCAGCGGCAGGAAGCCGCCGGACAGCACGGCCGTCTTGACGCCGAGGCGCTTGAGCGCCTTGATCAGCGCGGGCACGCCGCGGGTGACGTCCAACACAGGGCGGAGGGTCTCGAAGAAGGAGGCGGGCACGCCCTTGAGAAGCTGCACGCGCTCGCGGAAGGCGGCGTCGAACTCGAGCTCGCCGAGCATGGCGCGGTGGGTGATGTCGGCGACCTTCTCGGCGACGCCGGGCGGGCCGTGGGCGGCGAGCAGGTCGATGACCTCCTGGGTGATGAGGGTGGAGTCCATGTCGAAGACGACGAGGCGCGGGTGGCGGCGCCAGAGAGAGTCGGGCTGGAGGGCGACGTCGACGCCCCACTCGCGCTCGAAGCGGTAGATGAGCTCGTGGCGGCGCAGGTCGGTGAGGGAGAGGTAGCTGCGGCAGGGGGCCGGGTCGAGGGTGAGCTCGACGACGCGCGGGCTCGGCTGGGTGTCGAGGCAGCGGTGGGAGGAGGTGTAGTCGGAGCCGTCGTGGCCGGCGGGCAGCGGGAAGGTGGACATGAGGTGCAGGAAGGAGGAGACGCACATGGGCGAGATGTAGGAGCCGTAGAGGTGGTCGAGCTTCTCGGGCTCCGAGGCGGGCGGCTCGAGGGGGAAGGAGTCCGGGTTCTGGGTCGGCGCGAAGTTGGCCGGGATGGACTCCTTGGTGCTGCCGGCGTCGGAGGATGAGGCCAGAGCGGCGGCGGCGCCGGCGGGCGGGGCGGATGCTGCGGCTGCTGTTGCTACGCCGGCGCCGGTGGGAGAGGCATGCTTGCCGTTCGGCTTATAGAACAGGGTCGCAATGAGGCGGTCGGAGCGCGGCTTGCCGGCAGGGGGGGCACAGTTGGGGTGAGAGTAGGTGTGGTTCAGGCCGCTGTCGACGATGGTCGGGGGGTTCTCCTCGGAGGGGACGCCATTGAAGGCGACGAAATTCTTGCCGGGGGAGTGGCCATGCCTGGGCGGCGAGGCGAGGGAGGTGTTGCTCAGGTCCTCGACGACGGTGTCGATGCCGAAGCGGCTCTCCGGATGCTGGGGCGGCCGGTACTGCTGGTGCTCGCGCAGGAAGGAGCTGCTCCTCATGGACGAGGTGAGCTGCGGTCGGGGTGAGGTTGTGGACTTGGCGGGGCTTGCGTCGGCCATGGCGGAGACGATTTTGTCCTTTTTTTTCTTTTTTTTTCCGTCGTCTTATAAAAAAAATCACCACACGCCGGAACTAAGGCGGGGGTGGTGATGGAGGGGTTTGGGGAGTCGGGGGGAGGGGAAAAAAGGCGATGCAGCGGGCGACCAACCAAGCTGCAGCGATAAGAGCTGAGCAGCAACGGGCGGAGCTTGAGGTGAAGAGGGAGGAGGGAGGAAGAGGAGGGGAATTGGGACGGCGGCGCGGGGGAGAGAGAGAGAGAAAGAGGGAAGCTCGGAGGGGGAGCTGAGCTGGGCTGAGCTGGGCGTTGCTCGTGAAAGAGGCAGAAAGCTAAAAAGAACTTCACAGCGAACCGCGTCGACTCATGTTTCGAAGGTAAAACAGAGACCACCGCGTGGTTGGAGGACAGGACGGGACAGAGAGCAAACCAGCAGCAGTCAGCAGTCAGCAGCAAACCAGCAACAGCAGTAATTAACAGTGGCAGCAGCAGCAGCAGTAACAGTCACAGCCGCCGCGTGGGAGAGACCTAAAGAGGAGAAGGCTGGCAGACAAGGCACACACACACACACACTGTGAGGATGAACTGTGTGTGTTCAGCCCCCGCCTCTCCGTCACTGGTCCGGAGCCGAAGCTGGGATCCGCCATCGCCGTGCGCCGTGGTCATCCCCGGCGTCTCATTGGCCGAGGCAGCGCTCGTGGATGATGTGCGTTGGCGCGACGGTGGACTCTGCGCATCACGTGGTGGCCCCGACAAAAATTTTGACACGGCCGGGAGAGGGCTAACGTCAGGTACGGATGGCACGGTGAGAGGCCGCATTACATCACCTCCGGCCAGGGGTGGTGGTGGACGTGGTCCCGTCAATCTTTTCTGTCTGTGTCTCCTGTGGTGGGTGCGCAAGGACACTGACGGTGAGCGCGAGTTGAGTGAAAGTTGTCGGTGAATGTCAGTTCAAGGTGAGGCGACTTCTTTTTTTTTATTGCAACGGTCGACGGAGGTAAGGCCCCGGTGACAGTCGTCCGCTGTCAGCCTGGGATCAGCGCTGCGGTGCATCTCGGTGCCCTCCGTTGCTCTAGCCTCGTCCGAATATGCCGGCGCCAGTCGTCATTCGTCCACATCCTTCAGTCGCCAGGGGATGGACGATTCCCTTGTGGCAGCCCTATCGCCTGCTTTATCGCCCCCTAACAAGGACGTACGGAACCTAGCCGGGCGTCACCGTCATTTGGGCTCGGGCCAGCTTACATCAGACACTCTCGCCCGCGGTCTGTGGTCTTGTTTAGTCAGACGCTACCGACTTGTAAGTTGTTTGTCATCCCGTCACCGCAGGAGCCGATGACTGATCATGGCTGAGCAGGCAAGCGGACACCGCAACAGCCCAGGAGGCTTGCAGACAGCGGTCTCCGCTGATAGCGAACGGAGTCAAGCGGGAATAAGACGCACGATCGAGGAGTACAGCCATCCGTTGTAGATGACTGATTACGACTTGTCCTGGGCTGCTGATGGAAGGTGTTTGTTCTCCTCTTCGCCGCATCCGCCATCGGCCTTTGAGTCTTGGAAGTTTGATGTTGGTGATGGGGCTCTGCCAGATTGATGAGCTGGCAGTGGCGCCTGAGAGTCTGAGAGTCTGACTGGTGATGATGAATCAAACTCAGCCCTGGCGGAGTTGGCCAAGTGGCCTACGGGCTTTGCTCTCATTCTCACGATGGAGATGGTTCAGCTCCTCCAAGAAGGATACATCAACTCGTTCCCAAGCGGGAGCTTAAATCATCCGAGCAAACCCCCTGAAGGAGGAGTCTTCTTCCTCGCCGCCATAAGCGCCCATACAGCCCGCCATCTCCTCTTAAAGGCCGTGGCCTCAAGCGGTGAGCATCCTCGGACGAAGTCGGCACCGCGAAGGAAGCCCTCGGAGCGGTGATAAAACGAAACGAATCTCACGTCGAAACCCGACTGTGGATATGCCAGGAATTTTTTTACAACGGGCGGGTTCAGGTTGCCATGGATAACGGCCCTTGGGCATAGGGGCGTTGGCAGGTGGGATGCAATGTGATGGATGGACCATGACCATGGGGGAGGTTTGTTGGCAATGGATTGCGTGCGCGCGCCCAAAGTCCGGCGCGGGATGGATCAGACGCCGGACCACCCTCTGTCACAGTCCCACCGACGGCCGGCCGACTGCCGTGCCGCCCCGAGACTAGAAACAATGGAAACGAAGCCTCAAGCCACCGAGTGCCGTAACACCCACTAGTGGCCAAGCCGACTAGTGGCCCGCGCGGAATCACGTCTTCTCGCATCATCATGGCGAATCCGCACCGGTGTCTCTCGTGGAACGAAGGCCCCCGTTTCGTTGTTTTTTGGTCGCTGAACATCCAGGCAGTCCCAGATCATCGTCGAATTTCGGGGCTTCCTTTTCACAGATACAAGCAGACCGGACACGGCCCCAATGTTATACTCACCCAGATTGCGGCTTCCGGCTGCCGGGAACCGGGCCAGAGGCAAATCTTTTGCAAAGTAAATCTACTCCGGCACCCGGGGCGATGGCGCAATTGCGGGATGTCCACGGTACGGAGGATCCCCTGCCACGCGCGGCCAATCACGTCTCGCCGCCCTCATCACGAAAGGTTTAGCGTCGATGTCGTGATTGCTCCCAGACCACGCCTCGTCGTAGGAGAGTTGCAAAATATTCCTCAAGCGCCTGGCTCTCAATGCAAGCTTCCACTTGCCAGCTATTGCGCAATACCTGGGCAGGCTCCAGCGTGCGGGTGCCCATCTGCACTCCTCTATCGGCCTTTGGTTCGTTCGATCGTGCTAGAAGGGCGTACTTGGTGAAAAATCAAATTAGTAATGTTGCTTGATGATGCCCTGTGCCCGGAAAATGATACTCCTCCCGCCCCCTTCCCGCCGTGTAAGTGTCCCTCCTGGTCCTCCGAGCCCGTTCCTCATAAAACAGTCTCTCGCCTTCCTTCTTTCTCTCTGATCCAAATCTGACCTCACTTCACCCCAGACTAGCATCTTGCGTCATTTGCTTTTCGGTTCATCTCTTTCATCTCTTTCGACAAGAGCCGTCCTCAGCGAATATACCCCGGGTTTTCAACAACACACCCTCCTCACACAGCAACACTCACCATATAACCCCGGGTTCTCATCACCTCAGCAGCAGGAACCCCTCCTCCTCCTCACCCAACCCTTCTGCCCTCTTTCACATCCCAACAGCACCTTCAACATGTCGTCGTCCGCTGTTGAAGCTGCCACCGCGACGTCCTCCGTGGCGTCCTCCCCCAGACTCAACGCCGTCGAGGCGGCCAAGCTGGACCAGCAGGAGGTCGAGTCCGGGTACGGCTCCGCCACCGACGCTTCGTCGACGTCGTCCTCCATCGCGGCCCTGCCGCTCATCTCCCTCACCCAGCCCCACCTCAAGCACCTCAACGACCAGCTCGAGGACATGCACCCCATCGACATCCTGCGCTTCTGCCGCGTCATGTTCCCCAACCTGTTCCAGTCCACCGCCTTCGGTCTCACCGGCCTCGTTACCCTCGACATGCTCTCCAAGATCCAGAAGGAGAACCCCGCCGCCGCCAACGTCGACCTCATCTTCCTCGACACCCTCTACCACTTCTCCGAGACCCACGCCCTCGTCGACCGCATCCAGCAGCGCTACCCCAACGTCAAGCTGCACGTCTTCAAGCCCTTCGGCGTCGACACCACCGCCCAGTTCGAGGCCATGTACGGCGCCCGCCTCTACGAGACCGAGGCCGAGATGTACGACTGGATCGCAAAGGTCGAGCCCCTGCAGCGCGCGTACCAGGAGCTCGGCGTCGCCGCCGTGCTGACGGGCCGCCGCCGCTCCCAGGGCGGCGCGCGCGACAAGATCCCCATCATCGAGGTCGACGACGAGCGCGGCGTCGTCAAGATCAACCCGCTCGTCAAGTGGTCCTTCAAGCAGGTCCAGGACTACATCAAGACGCACAACGTGCCGTACAACGACCTGCTCGACCGCGGTTACAAGTCCGTCGGCGACTGGCACTCGACGGTGCCCGTCAAGGAGGGCGAGGACGAGCGCGCCGGCCGCTGGAAGGGCCAGCAGAAGACCGAGTGCGGCATCCACAACAAGAAGTCGCGCTACGCGCAGTACCTCGAGGAGATGGAGCGCAAGGCTGTCGAGGCCAAGAAGGCGGCGCCGTCGTCGTCGGCCGAGGCTGAGAAGGCGGGTCAAGCTGCCATCGCGCCTGTTGTCAAGGCGGAGAAGGAGGAGCAGGCCGTCGCGTCGCTGTGAGCGTCATGTCTTTTGACGTGAGCGGTTTTCGTTTGTTAACTTATAATGACCTGTACATATGATGACATGACGGCGTTGAGATTTCGGGAGCATAACTAAAAAGGGAAACGGCACGGGACAGCATGCGGGCGTTCCGGATGATGGGTTTTCAAAGTCATAGAAACCATGATTGTATCTCGCGCGTATCGCGGATACCACCTCAGATCCTATCAGATCAGATGGGAAACGATGAAATAAGATGAAGAATTCATGAAAACGCCTTGTTTGCTCTGAATGTGAGAGTGAAGTGCGAGGTGTGCGGGTGTGATGTGCGGCTCCTCCATCCTGCGTCCCGCTGAGACCCCGCATCCGGGACAAAAGTGGGCACGGGTGACCACGGCTCATAAGATGCTAACAGCCTTGCACGTAAAGCACACCAAAGCGTGTTAGTTCACTGACGTCCCTTGCCAAAAGCTTATTTCGGCATCCACGCAAAGCTGCTCGTGACCTCCTTCCCAATCTTGCAGTGTTATTGGATGCGAGTGCAGAAAGATCTATCGTTACACAAGATATGCTTCCATCCTCCTAAGACCTTGGTTGGAATGGGGTGATTTGCAGATTGAAACTGTGTCGATACCGTATCACGAAACATTGGCATTATGACCTTTGAAGCAGTTGGTCCTAAAAAGACCAACGCAGTTGCACATTTTAATTAGTTTTCAACGGTCTGTTGTTTAATCATAAGGTTAATTGAACCGTTTTCATCGGCGCAATGCTGTCTGCGGCTGCTCGTTAGCTATACAGCCACCCGAAAGTCTGCCTGTGAGGAGGCGTTGAGAAAACTAAAGCCATGCAAAGCTGACAGGCTACATCCAGCCGGCTATGTGAGCAGGATATAACATCAGTACTTGCGTTTGGGTTTTCTTATCTAATGGAATCATGTTGAAGGCAAATATTCCTAACATGAGGGCGACGGGTACAATAGATATAGGAATGAGCAGCCGTTGTGATTTCGGCGATGGCTGCTAGAGGAATTCAGGCGAGTGATTTGTATTGAAGGCCTTTCCTTTCCTGCGGGCCTTGAACCGACTCGGTGTGGGCATTGAGCATCGCCAAGCCTTCTCCCAGATGAGCAATAGAGTCAACCAGCTAACTATCTCAACTGACAATCTCTTATCTCGGACATTCGAATTGATGCTATCCTAGCTGTCACATAATACACCGCAAGTCGATATATCATAGCTGTCATATCATGATAATACCCCTCTGCCAATGCTGCTACCACCGGGTACGGCCAAGCTCTCATGCAAGGGTCCATAATGACTTAATAGCCGTGTGTCCCGGCGATCCGCGGGCCTTGAATCCGCCCAGAGTAAGATGAAAGTCTCCGAACTTGTACTCATGATGCCAGTGTAAGGGCTGCATGATTCGTTGTGGGAAAATTATTGGGGTAATAACTTTTGAGTGATAATGTTGTTCCGAAATGCGCTTTAATCGAACTGTGGTCGAAAATTCATAACCCCTCACAAAGTTGCTGGAGAGTGGGAAATAAAGTTCTTTTCGACCGTATATTGCATCAAAATAGGCGACCAGACTCGAAATTTATTCGCTCGACATCGTGGACTGCCATCCGCTACCGTTCCTGGCTCCAAGCCTGTGTAAGCTCACAGTCAGCCTCGGATAGTCCAAGTCGCGTTCTCATTCCAGTTCAAAAGCAAACGCATAACACATAACAAATCAATCTGTGTAAATTGAAAGGAACTGCTCATACTAACGATTCCCGGCTGCTCGGTGCCTCAAAACCAATCAAGCACGGCTTCATATCCAAAGAACCAGGTCACGCCCCCGGGAGTGTGAGACCTTATATTAAAGCCGCAACACATGCACCGCGGGATAGCCTGATTTCTCCAAGATATCGTCTGCTCTACCGGTTCCCGGGATGTAACATCGGAGGGTAGGACAGCGCGTTGAAAAGAGGCTTGGTACCGGCTCGCAAGCCGACAGGGGGCCGTGTATCCATTCACCGACTCACACGGTGCATGTACCTTCCGCAAACCACCACACACAATTTTCACCAGTCACTCCAGGAACCTCACTTACACGGCCGAAAACAAGGTACGGCGCCCAACAACAACCCAACATCCAGCGATTCGACAGGGAAAAGTCTTCCGTCCACCCAGATTAGACTGTCCGGGCGCCGTCCCCGTGACCGCTGCACCCCGCATACAAACACACACTCACACACATACAGTCACAACCACTCACTCCCACGGCAGGCACGAATAATGGCACCACAGCAGCGGGCCCAACTGCCCTCCCCGCCCGCGGCCTTCACGGCGCGCAAGCACAAGATTCTGCAGCAGCTGAGCGTGCCCGACGCGGAGTACACCGACGCCTCGCCCAAGGGGTCCGTGGACGTGGGCATCCGCGAGCTGATTGGCGAGCTCAACGCTCTGGACGGCTTCGTCACGACGAGCAGCTGCGCGGGGCGGGTCAGTGTCTTCCTCGAAGGGAAGAGGAAGGAGTCTTCGTCTGCACAGGAGGATGGCGATGCCAAGACCGCCTTGACGGAGGGTGAAGACACTCCGAATGCGCTGGCGACGATAGCTGGGCCCGGCGGGAAGGGCGGCGGCGGCACGTGGTTGTATGTATCTCACGATCCTGTCCCTGGACCGCATGATGAGGACGACAGGCTGCTGAGTCTGCTTGGTCTCGTGGATGAAGCCGAGCGCGGGAAGGCTGGAGCCGGAGAGGCGGGAAGCACTCAGTCTGGGCGAAGGAGACGGCGGCTTATACACTTCAAGTTTGAGCCTATGGTAAGTTTGACACCCTTCACTCACACACGCTCATGTACTCGCTTCCAATCTTTGAGCAATATTCTACACCACCCGCCTGCAACTTGACTGACCATCCCCTCAGATCCTCCACGTCCTCACAGCATCCTCATCCCACGCCCAGCTCCTGCTCAAATGCGCCCTCGCAGCCGGCTTCCGCGAGAGCGGCGCCCTGAACCTGCTGCCCAACGCACCATCCACCGACGACCAGCAGCCATCCGTCACCCCCATCGTGGGCGTCCGCACGATGGGTCTCGGCCTCGAGTCCCTCGTCGGCTACGTCGACGACTCCAACGACACCCGCCACTGCACCGTCTCGGCGGACTACCTCCGCACCCTCGTGGACATCGCCAACGAGCGCTTCGTCGAGAACGCCGCGCGGAACGCCAGGTTCCGCGCCGCGCTGCAGGACGCCACGGCGGGACCGCCCGCGAGGCTGGGCGAGGGCGGCGCCGAGTGGGAGGATGCGGCTGTCAGGAGGGAGCGAAAGAGGGCGGAGGGGTTGAGGCGGAAGGAGGAGAAGATGCTCGCTGCTAGGGAGAAGGAGACGCAGCAGGGTTCTGAGAGTTTGGTAGAGGAGAATGTTGTAGATCTGCCGGAATACCAACTTCATGGGCTGTGATGTGACCACAAATTCATTTCGCCATCTATACACTCTCTCTTTTTTATCTTTGCCGTCGCACAATGTGCTGTACATCTCACCATCTGCCTGCCTCCCCCCATCTACTGGCGTCTTCCTTCCCCGATCCATCACAGAAAAACATGAAAACGCAAGATATAAAGATGGATTATCAGGGATAGGACAGACCACCCACCACCACCACCACCACCGTCACCATTCCCTCCCTCACAGCATAGGAAACCGCCTCTCCTCTTCTTCACGAGATGACCTTCTCAACCCAGCCCTTCTCCAACCTCTTCACCTCCTCCTTGAACGCCTCCACCTCCTTCCAGCAGTCGAGCGGCCGGCGGTCGTTCTCGCGCAGGCACCGCACCACCTCGCCGCGCACCTTCTCCACGCCCTCGGGCAGCGCGCGCACCTGCTTGCGCTCCGCCAGCTTCGCGCGCAGCGCCTCGACCTCCTGCTTCACGCTGTCGTGGCTGCGCTGGCCCTCGGGCGCCGCGGCGGTCTCTTCCGAGGCGATCTTGTCGTGCGCGAGGCGGAGGGCCTCGGACTCCTTGGCCTGCAGGCGCTTCAGCTCCTCGGCGACGCGGCGCTGGATCTGGAGCTCCGTGAGCTGGGCGCGGGAGGCGTCGGTCTGTGGATTGGGTGTTCAGGTTAGCTCGGAAGTACTGGGGGGGGGGGGGGGGTGTTTGGAGGGGCTTTTTTGAAATCGCGCAGGGAAGGGTGTCGAGGCGGCCGGCATAAAAACGGAGCTCGGAGGAGAGGTGTTTGGTGTCCTGGCAGGTGACGGGAGTAGTAGAAGTTGACTTACCTCTGGGCTGGACTGCAGCTGCTCGACGAGGTCGTGGGAGATGCCCGAGGGCGCTGGGCTGCGGGCGCGGGTTAGCTGGGTTTGTTTCCTTGCACCGAGGAGCAGGTCGGTTCAGGGAATGGATTGGGAGGGCACTTACGCCTTCCACAGGTGTGGCGGCGTGTTGGAGGACGGCTTGGACTCGCTGGCACCCATGATTGCGGCCTCAATGGCTTGGGGGAGGTGACTTTGATATTGTTTGGCGGGCCGTGATGGTATGGAATTTTCCGGAGCCGTGAGCAGCAGAGCGCCCAGGCCAGGTCCCGTCGTCGAGCTGGCACAGCTCCGATGGGCCGGCGGTTCTGTGGCGCACGTGACGGGCTGCGTTGATGGCAGTCTTAGTCATCAAGCCTTATGTCATCAGAGGTCCTTAGGCTTAGTCAGGTTCTCAGAGGAACAGCTGGCAGAGCACGTCAACGGCCAGCTGGCAAGGATCTGCCCTCCACAGCTTCTGAACAACCTTCTGGAAGCCTTTTTTGATAGCGAGCACTAATAATTCTCAGACTTGCTGCCAGCTCTGGAGGGTCCCACGTCCGTCGGTGACCCCCGCGCACTCCCACCACCCGCCTCTTATTCAACGCACTTCATCACCCTCATCTTGTTTCAAGGATCGCGGGTGACTTGAGAATGGGCGGAGATATGGGAGGGTCTCTAACATCGCAAGGTCTACGCGGTCAGCCTCGGCTGTGCCAGATTTTGACAGGACGGTTATCTCGGTGAGATTCATTTTTCACGAAGAGAACCTGGGAAGGATTGCACTTGCACCAAGCGAGAGGTTCGCACCGAGATCTCTTCTCCGGGCCTCTCCAAGCGAACTGTCTCAATAAACACCCAGTCCTCCCCGAAGGAAGGCCAAGCATCAGCATGGGATGTTGCCAAGAAGACGACAATATCGAAAAACAAGATGGCGGCTCAGCAAGGTCTTAAACCCAGCCAGTCGCAAAACACCCAAGAGGCGGCAGAGAAATGAACAGACCCCCAATGCTTAAACAGAGGACTCGGCGGGAAATCTCACGAAGAGGCCGCATATCTCGGCTTCATCTGCACGTGTTTGGCAGGCAGGACAGCCCGCTGGACCTGGACGGTGAGATACGCAGTAGATGGTGCTAATGCATGCCATGCCACGCCCGCCTACGCTCACCTGAAGCGGACGGGGCACCAGCAATATCATTGAAACGGCTGGCCAACGAACAAGCAAATGACTTCATGGATCGCGCACGCTGCAGCACGCCCACCTTTTCGCCCGCCCAGGCTGGCCCCGGCCAGGACCCAGGGCGGCTCGCTTCTGGCCCTCTCCGTCTTTCTCGGTCCCAGGCGTTGTGGTTGCTGCGGCCACTATGAACGACCCAGCCAGGCGGTTTGCGAACTTGCAAAGGGAAGAAAGGCCCCACGATGGCCCGCGATGGGAAGGGCAGAAAAGGCTCTTTTCGGAACTCGTCTCCGAGAACTGCGGGCAGGGAGGGCCGGGTTGGGCTCATTTGTTTGCGACGGCGCTTGACGAGGGACTCCCCCGCTGGGAAGAAGCACAGGGCCCCTCGTCGGGGGGCACGGCTACACCGTCACATCCCGCAATTTGTCTGCGGCCGAGGCCAGCAGCACTTTCGCTCAAAGAGGGCTGTTCTGTCCGCTGAGAGAACTCCAAGTCAGTTCGCGGGCAGGTGGTCACGATATGAAGGAACGGCCATCAGCCGCGGTGGTAGGGAACGACCCTTGTCGGCAGACCGCTCCGCCCTTGGTGATGGTGGGGGCCGGATCTCTCCCTTCTCTGGGTTTTTGCGAATCGTCTCCCTTTTCAGATGCGGGTTCCTCAATTTTGGCGTTATCTTCAGTGTTGCGACCGTTCGGAGTGTTGCGAGGACAGGGGGTTGATCTGATGTCGATGGGGTTGTTGGTGTTCTAACCCAGACAACAGCTTTGACATTTGACAGATCAGACAGGCCACACGGACGTCTGCGAACTGCAAGAGTGGCAGGCGCTGACTTGCAAAAGTTACCCATTAGTTGCGAGTTTAAAATTCGCCCAGGGGCAGCGGGCGGCTGGCGACACCAACAGGATGATCTGTAGATTGTTCGATTTGATCCCTCGGCGGCAGGGAAGGCGCGTCAGCGTTAGTGATGGTGATGGGAATTGCCCAGATGCGGTATATGAAAGACGCCGAGTGAGCAGAGATGAGGTGAGTGGGCGGCATTGACCGACGGGATGTCGTCAGATGGCGTCAAATGAATGCCACGGCTCAATCGGCCGAGAAGCACGGCACAGCATTATGGCTGAGACGGGTCCGTTGATTGAATGGTGAGGGGCTTGCTTCACATGCTGCGAGAGTCTGTCGGACGACTGGTTCTCCCAACTGTCAAAGAATTTTCGTCATCCCCCCTCCTCCAAGGGTTACCATATCCGTCGGAGCTGTCACTTGAGCCCATCTTAATGACACCTTGGAACCGAACGTCAGTTGCCGTGTTTTCCAGCTTGCCGTTCCACGCAAGGGAACAGTAGAGCAAAAGATGGGTACGCGGCGATATCTGCGCATCTTATGGCGCCCCGTAAGGAATGCGGTGCACGACGTCCGTGTCACCGGTTCCCACACGCACCACCGGAATTCGGGAGCCCTTCTTCTTCCAGACGGGAAACAGGACGCACTACGCAGGATGGAGCGTAGTGTCGTCTCGTGTACGCGTTGCAGCCGGAGTGCGACTGGGTACGGATATCTTGGTCGGATCTTGGGGCACGCAACGTTGGGCCTCGTGGCGCCCGGCGCAACGGTTTCCTTCTGTCTCTGGACGGGCAGCGTGTCCCAGACAAGGGACCCGAGGGGGCGGACGAACGATGGAAACAATCGAACGACCCTACCCCGAGATCTTTCCCTTTTCCCCCCCCAAAGGGGACTCGGACGAGAAACGGATGGACTGAAAAGCTAACTGGTCTGTGATGTCTCTCGCTTCGGAATAATCGGCTGTCTAGACTGGCCGATTCCAGTGGTCATGGGCCAACAAGCGTGCAGGTTCTCGACAATGGGGTTTCGAATGACTGCACGGGGTGAACAAACGCAACGGTCTGGACGGGTGCCTCCCAGCCAATTGTTGGCATGCCGCTCCGGTCATTTGGGCGTGCTCCAGGGCGGCTGGGCAGTGGATGAGAGGCCCAGAGAGGCCCAGAAAATCGACTGAGAAAAAGGCCAGCAAAGTCCTCGGTGACCCCTTGAGGTTGTGCATGTTGGTCATCATTTCCATGCCATGTGCAGAAAGAAGCATGGCATGTCGGGTTCAGGTTCAGGATCACCCATCCCCACCGAACGAACAGAGGTGCGAGCAAAGGATTGGCTACTCGTCTTGGCTTTCTTGGTGTTCTCGGGTTAGCACCTGGCCATTGGCTCTGCGCGACCGAAGCGACCGCTCCCCCGTCCCTGTTCGTCCGGTCTTTTCCCCTGTCATTTGCTGGCAGGTCGCAGCCCACCCTGGATGAACCCGCCAGACAGCGCTGTCAGTTGTCAAGCCCTCTCGCCTTTGGCTCGCCCGTGGTCCAGTCAGCGTGCAGCACACGGCGAGCTGACGGAGGGGACGGAGTCAGGAACGGCGCAGTTCTGACCAGTCGAAGGCCCCAGGGGCCAAGACGATGGCGAGCAGCCCGGTAAACACTGGACCATTCAGACTGCGCGTTTGGCCAGGGAACGCGGCCAGGTGAAATCGGCCAGCAGCAAGCCACAGATGCAGTCCGCCAGAGCCAGTCAAGCCGAGAGATGCCAACCAGTCAGCTGTTTCGTGTTCCTGATTTCCGCCAAGGACGCTGTGGTTCTCGTGCATCCTGCAGTGCTTGCTCAGGATGCCAATTCATCTTTGGTTTCCTTCTCAGTTGTGGACGACTGCTGACGGGAAGGGGTCCTGTCTCTGATCATCCGATTGAGCCGTGCCGGTGCGAGACCATTCGTCACGGAGGATTCAACGGCGCAGAATAGAGACATCCGATCCCTTCTTCATTCCAGCCAGTCGTCCGATTTGGCAAACAGTCAGCACTCAGACATCCAGTTACAGTTTGTCCTACTTTGCAAGATGCGACGACGACAGCAGCCTTCGCTTGCCGGAAGAACAATTAAGGTGTAGAGAGGCGAGGGAAGCGAATGAAAATCATGGTAATCAGCAAACCCAAGCAGCCA